AGGGGACCCCAAAACGTGTATTTTCTTTAAATTTCTTGTAAGATTAGAGTAACATAACTTATAAAAGTGGGTTTTCAATGTTAAATATGAAGTTTCGAAAAATTCAAAAGTATGAATGTTTTCGGTGCCTTCCTACAACTACAAAATTAAAGATAGTGATTTTTCCTTCAAATGAAATTTGTTGTTCATAATTAATTCTTTCATTGAGGTCAGGTACGTATTTTTTAAACATTTAGTTGTTTTTGCGCAATATTGCGTGCAATATTTGAAATTTAAAAATAATAAGATTTTCAAAAATGGCTCCAAATTTTTTCTTTAAACTTTTGGTAGGGATAATACTAAATGCACTCTATCAGATGTCATAAATGATATGTTACTCTATTTGTATGCATTTAAAAAATCCACAAATTAATTGTTTTGACTTATCTCTCACGTTGTTTATATTTAGACCAGCGGCAATTTCTTTACATTAATGTATTTATGAGTACATATGATTAAAATAATGAGAGATGTTTCCCAAAACTCAACAGTTTTCCGAGAAAATGAGCTCAAATTTTCCCAAAGTCAGAAACGCTCGAACGCCATTTTTCTCAAAAACGACTCCAATATTTTTTTAACTTTTCCAACAAATAGTGTGAATTGAAATGTTTAAAATGATATAGAATTAATTTTGCTGTTTTCATTTGTTTCTTCAAAAATTACACAAATCAAATTTTTTTCAAAGATTTCTCACGCTTTTAATATGCAAATTTCTATTGATTTGTAAACACTATCGCATTTATGACTGGAAGAGCTTGAAATTAAGTGATGTGAAGTTTTTCTAAAACACTCAATAGTTTTCTGTGAAAAGAGGTTCAAATTTCGAGTGCTTAAATGTCATTTTCTTAAAACCGGCTTCAAATCTTTCAAAGAAATTTGGCATTTAGGGCGACGTTTTACTGTTCTTTAATATTAAAATAAAAATTTCGTTCTATTATTAAGAAGCTGAAAAATTAAGAATATTTCAAAAAAATGTATTTGGGCGGCGATATATGGCAGCTGGCAAAAGTATGTGTCAAATCCGAACAGCTAGACGAGACCAATGGAAATAAAAAACGAATAAGGGAAAGTCTGTGTCATTCTGTTGCACCACTAGTTCATCAATTTAGAGATATAAAGCTTTATATTACGGAAAAATTTGAAACAAGTCAAAATGTACCATCTGCCCTGAAGAAGGAACTTTGTAAGAGAGAAAGTTATGTAATGTTGCGCGAAAATACTGCGAATTTCTCCTCTCCTTGCCGGGCCCTAGTAACGAAAAAGTGGATAAATCCAGTTGCTAAATTTAGAAAAAAATTCTGCAACACGTGATGCAGTTAGGATCCATGTTTTGTGGGTCCTTGATACAGCAAAATCGATTGACGCCAAAACGTCTGTCTGTCCGTCCGACTGTGCACAAAGCTAGCGCATGCCGATTTTCTCCAAAATTGATATTTCCCAAACGTTCTAGCTGATGTCGCGGACCCTGGAATTTGAAACTAATAGTTTTGGGGGGTATATTACATGAAACCCGTGGGGCTTTTTCAAAATTTTCTAAAACATGGTTCAAACATTTTTTATTTTATTTTGTTGTTGAATAGTTCAAAAGACGTTTAAGAGAAGAGTTCAATTCTCATATTCGTTGACATGCCAGATTTTTGTAAAATTATTTAAAACTTCAGAATTTGAGATATAGGTTTTTGCTTCAGACAAAGACTGATGTACAAAATTGGCTCTTCAAAAAAGATCATGTACAATTTTTTGAAGAAAAACGAGTAATTTTGCGTTATTTCTGCTTGAAATTAATGAAATATGTACAGGTTTTGCAACAACTAACGACCACCTTCAATTTTTGGCAAAAATGGGGCTTTTAGGAAGAATTGATAAGAAAATATGTGCCCATTGTCGACAGCGCTCATTGCTGCATGCGCGCTTTGTTGTCAGTGCTGATCGACTGAGATGTGTTGATATATAGTACGATTATTTTAACAGTGCACCTGAGCCTTGTCTTCACCTTGGCATTATCATTGCATATGTCTTTCTCGGCGTGCCGCTAGATGCCGCATAATCGCGACTATATCAACCACTACTTGATATGGTCGCGACATCTAGCGGTACGGCCGAGAAAGACGCGAAATGCAGTGGCAAAATGCCAATGTGAAGATAGGGCTCAGGTGCACAGATAAAAAAATCGCATTATAGACTGAAATGCTGTATAATATTATTACATATCCGTTATTAAAGGGCGAGAAAGTAGGTGCCAGAGAGTATATATGTAAAGTAGGTGCTGTTTTAGCACCACTATTAAAATATCTCTCACGCCGTTAATATGTACATTTCCAGCGGTTTGTATAAATTATTACACTTGTGAGTGTAAGTGCTTCAATTGCCTTTTAATGAAGTTTATCGAAAGAGTTTTAAATTTCCCATTTACAATTACGCTTAAACGTAATTTTCTTTAAAACGGCTCCAAATTTTGAATGAAAATCGCCATTAAAGACGAGATTTTACTGATTGTAATAGAACTGGTATTTCGTGTGACCCACAACTTTTCATAGTTCGTATGTGACAAGCAACTCCCTAACGGCCTGTGATGGCCGCGTGATGTATACTGCGATTTATCCAATTCTGCCCCTGGCAGGTATCAGATGTTGACTGTTTCATGTGGGAGTTTGAACGTTACAATAGTGACGTCACTACAGTGTCGTTCAAGCTCCCGATTGGAGCCCGTCAACAGCTGATACCTTCCAGGGGCAGAGTTGGATAAATTGCAGTATAAATATTAGATTTGCTTTGGTGGCAGGTAGATACAACCGTTCATGTTCTAGACGTTGTACCAGTAACATCGTGTATGTACCTCGTTTTTAATACACGTTCTGATTTTCACATAGTGGTGTTCTTCTATTCGGACATTGAATCCGCACTTACAGTTTATTCCAACTTTACTTTTTTTAATGTTAGTCGTTTAGTTTAATATTGCGAGCAATATATGCAATATTAAAAACAACAAGATTTTCTCGAAAACGCTTCCAAATTTTTTCTTTTAACTTTCAATAGGGATATTACTAAATCTACTCGATAAGGTGACATAAACGCTACATTGCTCTATTCTTTTGTTTTTTAAAAGTTACAATAAAGTAATTTATTTGACTTTTCTTTCACGTTGTTATGGTTTACATTAGCGGTGATTTTGTTCACATTATTATATTTATGAGTATATGTGCTTTAAATAATGTCATACAAAGTTTCTCAAAAAATGTAGGTTTCTGGGAAAAGTAGCTCAAAATTCCGCATTTTCAGAAACGTTTAAACGCTATTTTCTCAAAATCGGTTCTAAATTTTTCCTTCATACTTTTCGTACGGTTAGAGATAATTGCACTGTTTAACGTGACATAAATTCATTTTGCTGCATTCTTTTGTTTCTCAAAAATTACCCAAATGTATTTTTTTAAAAATATCTTTCAATCTCCTTAATCGCCGTTATCATGCATATTGCATTAATCGCCGATAATATGCATATCACAAGCGATATGTAAACACTGTTGCATTTGTGAGTAAATAAGATTCAAATGTCTTCTTATAAGGTTTTCCGAAATCTCAAAAATTGTCTATGAAAAAGTTTCAATTTTGACATTTACAGTGAGGCCTAAACATAATTTTCTTATTATCGGCTCCAAATTTGTGAATGAAAATGCAAGTTAGGACGAGGTTTTACTCTCTTTTAATGTTTTAAAAATAATATTTCGGTTCTGCTATTAGAAAAACGAAAAATTGAATAAATTATGAAAAATATGTACTTTTGGTGGTGATTGATGGCAGCTGGCAAGAGAATGAGGCAAGAATATAAAGCTGGCTCAGACCAAAGAAATTAGAAAACTTACTAGAACAAGAAAGTCAGTGCCATTCTGTAGCACCACTAGTTTCAAGCATACATTGGTGTATCTGAGAAAAAATACAGAAACAATTTGAGCAATTTTTGACAAAATGTGCCTGAGGTTTCGTGTAAAGCCAAAATCAAAATTTACGTTTCAAATTCAAGGAGCCGCGAAATCTGCCAGATCGATCGGGGAATATCAATTTGGTGAAAATGCTGCCTATGAATACGCGACTTGTCTTATTTCATAGGCAAATAGAGAGACATTTTCTCGTAAACAAATTTTTCGGAATCAAGGACCTACAAAGAGTGCATTTTGACTACACTGCTAGAAGGAATTGCTTCCTACACGTGGGAACAAACATTACCCACTTTTTCGTTATCAAGTATTCACAAAACGTTTCTGTTAAAAAATCGCCTTATTTCTGCATCATTACAATATTTTTTTCAATACTGCGTACGTGGAATGCGAGAAAGTAAAATTGAACATTCTGAAAAACATTACTTGCAATATTTTCGTTTGTCTTATCGCACAGACGGAAAATTCCTTAGTCGAGTTATCTTACCCGAACAATAAAAGGCATTTACCTTTTGTATGAAATTTAACATGTGTAATGTGAGGATACATAGACAACAGTATTTGACCAACATTTTTACTTTATTTATTAAAACGTAACTTTCACTAAAATACGAAATGCATGAATTGAAATTGTTTATTTGTTATCATGAAAATGATTTGAATTTAAGCAATAAGTAATAATTATTCGCAAGTAGCAAAGAAATTGTCAACTAACTTCGTGAAGTACCAAATCACATGATCGTATTCAGCGCCTTCCGTAATTTAATTTCACAAAGAGGAAGTTCGTAAAATCATGGAATAACGAATGGGTAGCGTTCATGAATTCCAGGGAAAGAATTAGAAGTAGAAAAGCAATATTTTAGTTTAAAGTCTTAAATGTAATTCTTTAAAATATAAAAATGTATTTTAGAAACGGAGACTTCTATTCTTAATTATTTTACTCTCTAAGTATCCTAGATTTGATATTCTGTTTCACATATCCAGTGAATTTCTGAATCCGCTTTAGCGTTGGTTTGCGCGACCGGATACCGCCATTGCGGGGAAAACGGCCATCTTCAAATTGTGAAGCTTTCATTGTGTTGCTTGTGTGTTGTTTGTGGAGTGTAAATTGGGTGAATTTAGGGCTTTATAGCTCAAGAGGGTGTATATTTCGCTTCTAGTGAAATGGGTCTTGCTAAGGGAAGAGGCAGAGGGAGAGGAGGAATAGGCAAACCCAAAATCAGGGGACCAGTGGGTAAGCCGCCTCCGCTAATGGGCCGGTTGGCCCCACCGCCAGGAATGGGTCTTCGTCCACGCGGACCGCCAGTTCCTCCGTTGGTTCCTCCTCGCGTTCCTCCTCGTGTTCCCCCTCGTATGAGGCCGCCGCCTCCAGGAATGAGGCCCCCAATTCCTCCAGTTCTGGGACCTCCACGACCTCCTATGCCACCATTCCATCCACCTCCACCCCACGGTCGTCCCCTCCCGCCACCGCCTCCTTTAGCTCTGAGACCTCCTGTTCCTCCACCTTCTCTACTGAGAGCTCGGGGGCAAGGCATTCCACCTCCTTTAATGCGTGGTCCAGGATTCAGACCTCCAGGACCCATGATGCCGAAATTTGGCCCGGGTAAGAGGAATCCTGCAGCACAGAAGGGCCCAAAAAAGAAACAGAAAGGGAAGAAAATGGAGTTGGGTGATGTAAGTACTATTCTCATTTAAGAAAAGTAGTTAGAATGTGATAGTTCACTAGATTACTTAGGAAACCTGTGTAATGTAAACCAGTTTTTGATGCCAAGTTAAAATAGTCTCCATAAAAACAACACTAGTTTATGGTAGTTTAATTGGAATCTTCGTCATCTCAAAATGACTTTAAGCTGTAAGATACAGGTGTGCAATGCTATGTAATAACAAGGTTGTCAGCATAGTCATTAGACTAAATTTGATTAAAAGCTTCATAACTTGCAGGCGGAATTTTATTGCAAGTTTTAATTCTGGATATATTTTTTAAAACTGTCAAATTAATTGTAGGACTTCATGTTAGGTTACCCTCCAGTGTTTGAAACCTATTTGGAGATGGATAAGATACACAGACAAGTTAAAATGTGTATTTATGAAGTATGTCTAGTTCTATAATTAAAATTGTTTTGTATTTAAAGATTGGCAGTTAGGGATTGTGATTTGGAGGTGCTGTTTTTCATAAGGTTACATTAGTGCAATATTTATTAGAAAAGTAAAAACTGCAACACTATATTGTGGGTATGTTTCGGATTTTTTTTTTTAAAAATATTTTAATGTTATTGCATGGTGATTTCAAGGAATTCCAAAAATGCTAAGCATTAGAATGTGAACAAAACTAGCTAGGAACAGGACATTGTTATAGATAGAATATTGGTAAAAATTTTATCCCAAATTGAGTTGTTCCATTATTTTTGAAGCATCTTAATATTCTCAAATAACTTTGTAATACTCTTAGTTACACCTGGAGTATTCTTGTTTGCTAACTTAAATTTAATGTTTTTTATTTCTGGTTATCTGAATAATTGAAAACTTTGTGTAGGACTTTTGATTTAGTTCTCCCAGCAGTGAGCGAGGACATGCAAACAAATTATTATTTAAATATTTGATTGTGGAAAGAAATTCAATTCCCCAAGTGTTTCTGCTTCATTGCCCTGAATTTTTACCTACAAATTCATTTCCTTTTTCTTTATTGTTCTTTGACTTGTTCAGAAGAAAATATAATGAAATTTAACCATTGTCAGCTTTAATTGTTTAACCTAATACACAGTGTTTAAGAGATCAGTTAGACTAGTTCATTTTTCGATTAGGTTTTTAAGCTAGTCATAAAATCCTGGAACTGCTTCATTCTGGTACATTTTTTAAAGAACATTTAAAAGTCTTTTCTTTTGTTTTTGGCAAAAAATACTGCCCTAGGTTGATCTACTGAACTGAAAATTGTTCATAGATAATTTAAATTTTACAAATTCTCAAAGGAAGTAATGTGTAATATTTTTAAGTATGATCTCTCTTAGCTCAGAGAAAAATGAGAATGTAATGTTATCATTACATCATTTTACTAATGTATTATGTATATATATGTAAAAATTAAGTTTACTTGCGAATGTTTTTGAGAGTAGGGTACCAGAATGATAAGTGTTTCAACTTGTACAGATATCTGTTATGGAAGAAAATTTTCTTGATAACTTAGGGATACAAGGCCAAACCTAGACACAATAATACTTCACTATAAATGGACTTCAATATGCAACACATCATGTACTTAAATTTCTTTAGTCATTTGACATAAATCAGCTGTTATGTGTCATTCAATCAGCTTAAACATCGCTACTGTTTACCATCCAAGCTCCCAATTAAATGACACCGTAACATCTGATTTGCGCCAACTGACAACTCAAGTGAGACTATATTCATAAGAGTAATGTGGTCAAAACAGAGTTGGCACTTGAACCACTGGACCTATGAATGAAGTGTAACAGTGTACTAATTCTGTGTTTAATTCCTCACATTTGCTGATATTTTTGTCATGTGTTTTCATTAAAATGTTTCTGATTTGAAAGTGAGCTAAAATATATTACAGGGTTGAAACACCAAAAATATAATGTAATATATGTATATTGAAGTTGCAGGTGTGGTGGAGTTATATCATGTCTTTTATTCCTGAATTTAAAAAAAAATCAATATATAATAATAATAATAATAATAATAATAATAATAATAATAATAATAATAATAATAATAATAAATAATTCATAAATTGCAGAGTATTGCATAGATTTGCCTACAGTAATAATGGAATCTTAATATTTGTATATTATTCAGTTAAATACTTTTGGAATATAATTTGCAATAACAAGGGGAAGAAAATATTCATTTTTGTGGATGGATATCATAGAACAGTTATAGTAGTGTACATTTGGGTGTTTCTCACTAGAGGTTATAGAATTACATCCTCTCCTCAGTAAGAGAATTAATGATATGTAGTAAATCTCTTTACTTGTCACTGCCAGAATTTTTTGTTGTTGTGAACATAACTTAATTATTGTAAAGCTCAACAATTTCATTTTATTTGGAAAAATGTGAAGCTTTACACTACTCTGTATTGTAGTGTTCTTTTCCTTTAATTTTTCTTTGCTTTGTGTTTTCTTTACAAGTTTTTTTTTTTTTTTAATTTAAATATATTCATTTGTCATTGTAGTTATGCAATAGCTTTAGAACATGACATAGCATTAATTACTATGCAATAGCATATTTATTAATGCTATGCCATAGCATTAGAACATCTTTTGTAATGTATAAAATGAAATGAATTTCGTCATGAAAAATGTTAATGATTCAACTTTCGTAGGATTCTGAAATAAACAAACCCTGGGTGACAGAAGCAATGAAGAATGAAATACAGAAAAAGCATAAATTATATCAGAAAGCTAAGAAGAGTAACCAGCAGACAGATTGGGAAGAGTTTAAAGAGCAAAGAAATCGTGTGACAACAATGATTCGGGAAGCCAAATTGGAATATATTGGCAGTCATCCGGAAGAGGTAAGATAACTGTTAATGATATTTGATTTAGGCTCAGAAATTTAAAAGAAAAAAAAGCAATATGATTAAAAATTAAGAAAGTAATGTTTAGCAGGTTAGTAGTCTCCATATCTTGGAAAGGTTATTTTATTGGAGCATGGAATTAGCTTGTCTTTTCTGCATGCTTTTGATAAATAATTCTTTCCATGTTGGTCATCAGTAACATAGGTAAATTTAAGGTTAATAAGTTGTTGTTTTTTTTGAAAAGTATTAAGAGGAGGCTATTACTCGAAAAGTAATTTGGGAGATGTACTCTTAATCTGTTGGCTTTTGGGTTAAAGTCATTGTAAAAATATTCCATTATAAAACTGGTGCATGTTCTATAAATAGATAATGAATTATTGTTGTTCATGCTTTTGTTTCATTATATTTATTTATTTATTTATTTATTGCAGTTAGTAGGAAGTTTTGAACTAATCTGCTTGTTATGGGCTTTGGTTTGCATGTTTTATTATTCTTTAGTGCTTCAAGATCAATTGAGTTTCGTAGAACTTTTTTTTTCTCTCTTTTCAATGTTAATGACCCTTGAGGCATGAAAATTATTTTGTCCACTGATTGATAGAAAATATTGAAATCTACAGAGATTGATAGAAACTTTTTTGGCTTTTGATTGGAGAAACTGAACTGATCAGAACGATGTGCTCTTCTAAATTTGAATTGTTTAGTCACATTAAAGTAATGATACTTATAGTATTGATGGTTTCCCCTTGCTTGTACCAAAAAATATTACTAATGTGAATGCTTGTGCTCTTGTAATATATTTTCTAATATTGGTCACACTATAGCATACGTAGTGTACTTGAAGGTCTGATCACAAAGCATTTAGATTGTGAAGAGAAACTTACTTAAAAATTAACAGGCTTTCTTGTTCTATATTGTTTCCTTCATTGAGTTGTTAATTGCTTGAAGTAAATTGGTTTGTGCAGGTAAGTTAGATTTGTCAACATAAGGTGCAGCTATTTGTGACATGCTCGTTCTTTCTTTTGATCAGTGGACAAAGTACTGTGCATATTGTATTTTAGTAATTAAGTTCATTGCAAATACTTACAGAACTTTCACAAGTAGGAATTTATTAAAGTAGTTCTGATGTTTTGTGAAAAAGATTTGATTATACCATAAAACATTGTTTGGAACTATTTTGTGGGAGATTTTTGTTACTTAGAATTCTTTGGTACACATTACATAAACACCAGAAGTAAGGACTTTTTTGTAACATCACTAACTCCTTGGGAACATAAATACTTAGTACTTTTTTAAGTCATATCTAGCTTGGTTTTTTTGGGGGGGAGGGGGCAGTTGACAGAACTATTATTTTTTTCTCAATTTAATGTGATAAATACATTTCTTTGGCATTTTCTTGGTCCCAATGTTGAGTTTCTCAAGAATCTGAATGATTGTACCAATATTAAATTGGTTTGGAAGCTCCATTTTGAAATATGCATGTGCTTACTTGCTTAATTGTGAGTTATATTTTCAATCAGCAACACTTGGTTATAATGACTTCATGTTGTACTTGTGCACTAGCTGAAAAGTAATTTTTGCATTATGTATCTTCTCGTTTTTATTTATTTTATTATTATTTTAATTATTTATTCATGATAGTCTGCTGCTTTGCTAGTAACGCAAGAATTTAATATTCTAGTGTAGTAATTCTATATTGTAATCGCCTGATTTATCTTTCTGGGGCAATATTTGGTTTCGATTCTTACAGCCCTAATTTTTTTGATGCTACACTATTGTTCTCTACTATTTGAATACTGCAGAGTAAATACAATTGGGAAATTAGTCATTGATGATTAGATTTTAATTGTAGTTTCATTGTAATTTATATTCTACCCATTGCCTCTGATTGTGGTATTTCAGAATGTTATTCCAGATTTCTTGATAAATACTTTTCATCATATTCCAGAATTAATAAATTTTAGAGGAGAAAGTGGTTTGTTCATTTCTTTCAAGACTTTCTTGGATTTCATTGCGAAAGGAATTATAAGAAAAAAGGAGAAAGACAGCTGATCAGAACTACAAATTATTAATCTCAGGGAAGGGTTGGTGAAGACAGTAGACAATTTTATAGGCATCTTTTGAATATTAAGTGTTTTTTAGTTTTGACTACAGTTAGGAGTACAAAATATTAAAGATCCAAGTATTTTTTGTTCTCAATTTGTTTTAAAAAAAAATTAGTCATTATTTCCAGGTTTGCTGTGTGCTTGTATTATCGGATCAAATAAGTATTGCTTTCTGCAAATTAATTTTCATTGTCTCTAATCTTCAGAGAAAAATTTAATTTGTTTTCATTTGAATTTATATTTTTTAATTATTGTAAGATTTAAATGTTTTTCTTATGATGGCTCCACCAGTACTAATTTTGTAGAACAATGAGATACAACAGTATTCTGAATTATTAATCGTGCTTATCACAGTGCAGTGTTGTGTGCATTGATTGTAAATACAAACCAGTGCACCATTTTACGTTTTTTTTAATTTAAAAATTGGAGCCTTTATTTTGTTTCTTTTTCTTTTTTTCTTTTTTGAAAACCATGCTGTTAAATTGAACAACAAAAATAATCCATAATTTTTCACATGGGATTTAATTCCAGGATGTTGATAAAATCATGGCAGAAGTCAACAGTAAAGAAAAGAAGTGATGAGAGGGAGAGCTGATGTAAAATTTTGCTGGGCCCCGCAGTACACCCTGTTTTCATATTCATCTATTCACATTCATTCAGTGGTTCTAGTGTTCAATGTGCCGTAATTAAATGTTTGTGCTTTTTAAAACTTTGGTGTACTTAGTGTGTCCTTCATTGATTAGTGTCAATGCACTAGCATTTCCCATCATTAATCATCAGTGCTGTCTTTCTATTAAAGTAATAATTCTGGATGGAAATGCATTGACAAGTCATGAAATTTTCTGTGGACTTTCAATTGGTTGAAATAACCTGTTACTCAAAGACTAAAGAAGATATACAGAGGTCTTGATGCAGAAGCAAAATTTGATTATTAATTGAATTGTTATTATCTAAATTAATTTACATTGGTGTTCAATTATCTCAGTTGCATTAGAAATGAAAATAATTGTGAAGTGTAAACTTCAATGATTTTTCTCGAATGAAACTTTTCCCAAGAAGAAAATATGTGGAAAATACTAAACAATAATGGTGTGATTTTAATGTGCACTTGATATTAAACTTACAACTTCAGTACATGCATTATGTTAAAATGGTTAAGTGCTAGAATCTCTTCAACTTAACAATAAGATATGAGTTTGTTTAATTTCTAAATTGTCATCAAGTTTTCCCTCTCAATTTCATTCAAAATTGTTTGATATATTGTAATAAACTGTTTTTTGTATATTTTTTTTTAAATGCATAGTTTGGCACATAGTGCCTAGAAGAATAGTTAAATGATGTATTTATATTCAAGAAACTTGATAATATTAAATAGACTTCCCATAATTTGCAACTTGTGTAATAATTTATTGAAAAAGACCTTGGCAAGATACCAGTGTGTTACATCAGCATTTGCTGTGCAAATAGAAGACCCACAGTAAGTCTTTATTTATCTTTATAGCAATGAGGACACCTTCAAAATTTCTAAAGTGTGTCAATAATTAAAAACTGTACACGTGCTCTAATAGCCAATGTGTGCATGATAATTTATTCATTCTTGTGTGTGACACATTTGTATATATCTATGGTGTAGGATAATGTTGAAAACAGAGGTGCTGATCTAAATTAACTACTTCACTCACTATATAATTTGAACTGTAAAAAGAACAGCATTACATATTCTATTTCTGTAAATGGTGTAGGTTGACTGGCTTAGTGTTGCATTTGTGACCAGTCACAAATTCTGATTGCATGTCTGTTGGGTTATATGTTAGTATTGTTGTTAGAGAATATTTTGAAAAATAATTTTGCAGATTTAATCTCTTAAAACTTCCCATTTCTTATGGATATATTGCGATTTATATTAAACAGTTCTAAAACCTTTTGAAACATTCTCCTATATAAAATGCAGTGGGTGTGAAATCATGTTTTCTTTTGTGTAACATTGCCTTGTATTCAAATTGTAAATGTGCTTTCCCCACCCAACAAAAATTTCAGCAAGAATGAATCCAGGTGTTTATTTGAATCCATATGCTATCACATTGAATTACTGGGATTGAGGTAGGTAAGCACTTTTTTCAACAAGTCAGTTTTTATTAGAAAAAAATTGAAATGAAATTTTTCCCCAAATTGATCAGGGGAATGTACTGACTTCTGGTATCTACGTCTTTAGAATATTTCATAAATGTGGTTTTGTTCCTTTGTGGTAAATGAATGGAATGTTAGTGGAATTTTTTATTATTATTTTCGTAATTATGTGAATTTCCACTTAATTCAGCAATGATTCGATACAATTATTAATAAGAAAATTTGCTTTTAATTGTGATTTAAATATTTTATCGTTTTGTAGATTTCGCCAATAAGGAAAATCCAACTAACCGAAACTAACCTTTGTGTGAAACTTTGGTGTCTTAGCAGTCGTCATATAATGCTGCATTTTAATGGACATTGCAATGTTGCTGATGTTTTTAAGGTCAGCATTGCGATCCGTGTTAGTCACTGGGATCTTTTGAATCATCTTAATGCTCCGTGTGCAGGTTAGGTTTTTTCCCACAAAAAATATATTTTTAAGAGTAGTTTAGAAAAATTGTACAAATTCTTGTAAATGTCAAATTATATAACCTTATTTTCGTCATGGCTTAAAGAAAATAGGATTTTTCAAGATTAATAAATGAAAAATTTTGTAGAATTGATTAATTGTGTAATTTCACGTTGCATGTTTCTACTCTATTTCTAAAATTTGAAGTTTTGAGATCAATATATTGGAATCATTCCTTAATAGAGAAGTTACAAGGACAAGGTATGTTGGTGAATAGGTAATAACGGGATGGAGAGGTTGGCAATGACTGCATAAGTTAGTTAATGCTAGTTTCAATTAGTTCAAGTAAATGACAACTGATTTTGTAGAATCAGAAGTTATTGAAAATTTTCATGAATTTGCTTGCGGCACAATTTCAATTGTTGACATTTCTTTAATAATTATTTCCCTAGAACTATGCATGTACGCTACAAAAGCATTTGTCATGAATGACATTCCTCATCTTTAGAAATGACATTGTGATCTTTCACAACAAATTGTGCATTTGCGTGTGCACACACACACACATACACACACACACACTCAGTCAGAAAAGTAGAAAAATAAAGTTATTTTATCTAACTAGTTAATTTATAATAGAGCTTCTGTTAACCTAATTCTTGAATACCACAGGAGGGCGATTTCTTCTGCGAGTCCTGTGATCGGCAGTTTAATTCATCATTGAAATATGCAGAACATGTTGCGGAACATGAGACATGTGGCATTGAAGGTTGTTCATTCACAGCCCACCCAAAAATTGTTGCAAAGCATGTGGAATTTCAGCATTTGTCTGGCCTCTTTAATAGAATAGGCAAAATGGATTCACCAGAAGATATTGCTAAGTGGATAGCGGATAGAAAGAGGTTAGAAGAAAGTGTTTACTATATTAGTGAATGTCTATAAATCAATAGTAGGCCATACAAACATTGATAGAACTATTATTTCTATTGCAGGCATTACCCCACAAAGGAAAATATTGATAAAAAACAAGCTGAATTATTGGAAAAGATGCAAAGAGGTGAACGGCTAATGAAAGACAAGAGCCGGTTCAATAGAGATGTACTGAACAGACAGAGAGGTATGATTGAGCAATATACTCCATCTACATGTATAGAAAGAATCAAATAATTTAATCCAATAATGTTTTTGTCTATAGGAAGAGATTTTAGTAAGCGTGGTCGTGGAAGAGGAAAAGGCCGTTTTTCCCAAGGCAGACGTGGATATGGCTTTGAAATCAGGGAGGAAGACGATATGGAAGATCAAGAAGAAGAATTAAATACATGTCGAGGGAAATTGAAACTCTTTCGTGGCACTCGTAAGATTTTTCAATATTCTTTAAAAATACATGAAGTTGCGACTAATTATCGGCAGTAACAGGGCTGCTGAGAGAAAATGGATGGTTGCATTTTTTCTCATTGGATAACTTATGGCCAGGAGCGGATCGTCAGGGAGGGAAATTTCTGTCTCTAAAATTTGTCTATTAATTTTAACTTATCACGAGACATTCAAACAAAAATATTTTTGGATAATCATAAAATGAATAAAATCATATCGCAGTGTGCCTGCAACATTTTACAAAATCTGTTATGACACATTCGACCAAATCATTTTTAATTTCCCCCTTCCAAACTTTCTTTGGATTTGCCACTGTAATATCAAAAGATGTGCAACTGCATTTTATAATTAACAATGTGTAAAGATTGAAAAGTAGTATGAATCTGTACAGACAGTGGATGGAAAAGCTAGTGTGCTTTTCTTTGCATTCCTCACAAATCTATTTAGTAATGCAATAACAGTAGCTCCGTTTTGTGTTATTATTAATTAAATAATGGTAGTAGCAAAACAAGTGAATATACACATATCCCACAATGCCTCTTCAAATTGACAGTTATCACACCATAACACCACCAGTCATCAAGCTGTACAAATTACAGTTCTCACCATTATATCACATTGCAGCTGACGTGCCAACTGCTCTTTTATTCATTGGACTCTGCAAACTATGGCCCAAACTATTCTTAAATTCTTATACTAGTCTCATGTTCAGTCTCCTTGTTATCGCAGCTTGCAGGAAGAGCATTCCACTCATTTCTGACATGATTTACAATCAAAATGCAATCGATGAGTCTTTCTTGGCCCTTCTTTTGCAACTTAGTTGTCTAAGTCTTCGATCTAAAGCTCTTGTGAATAGTGTCTTGATTTGGGGTACATTGAAGAATCTATGCAGAATCTTGAAGGTCACCACCATATCCCCTTCTGTTCTCTGCTCTAAAGTCAAAAGAGACATGACATCTTCCTTCATACTGCAAGTGATGCAAGTGATGAAATTCTTTTGGGATTTATGTTGGATGGCTGCAGTTTCTCTACAGAGAGAATGACTTTTTAATGGTAAGGAGACCATACTACACATGCAAAATTCTGCACAGGCTTTGTGTATGTGTAGTGTGAATTTTCTTTATTGCAGATAACGGCAAGGTAGAAAAAGATTTTCTAATTATGGCATTATGTTGGCCTGTTAAGTGACTTGATGATATTTGAGTATCCTGTTTCAAATCGTGGGATATAACTCCAAGATCGTTTCGTTGCAATGTTATGTCCAGGGAATGATTTCCAATGGTGTGGATTAATACTCCCAATGCACTGTGGATTAATACTCCCAAGAAGTAGCATTTGTGCTAGTGTTGAAAGAAAGTATCCTCTATCTGTACAGACAGTGGATGGAAATGGATATTTCTACACGATACTGTTGTGGAATCAAAACTGGATGTCCAATTTGGAAAACTTTACAGGGTAATTTCTTTTTCTGCTCAAAATTTTGATGAAAATATATCCTCTAGATTCCACAAAAAGCTCAAGATCAAAAAAGATGAATATTGCAGCTATGGTAACAAATAGTTTGGTAATATTAGGATGAAGCACAGAACAAGACTATATTAGAACACAGTGCCCATTTTATTTCTCACTATGTTCACTTCACATTACAATTCAATATATTAGAATGCTCTTTAACCTGTACACAGGAAACATCACATGAAATGCAGACTAAACGACAGAAAGTTCTGCTAGGAGTAAAGTAGTCGAACTGGATGAAATCTGTTCTGAAAAATGAAGCATGTGTCACTTTTCTGTATAAATGAAATGACAAAAATCCCATCTGGTTTGTTGCTTTCCTGTGTCAATGAGAAATTATAAAAAAGGATCATGTAAAACAGGCTTCAGAATTCCCACCATCTAGGACAATTTGTTCTTCTACCTTCATGTATGTAGTTGTACTTCTATTGTTAGTCTGTTGGAGATAGCCCTTTAAGCCATATACAAAGGCGTGCCCAAAAATGACTGGAAGAGTGCTGCTGCTGGTGGATCTTATATAGTATGCATTTCTCCTGCTTGTTGAGCGTAGTGAAACTTGTTCAGAGTTCAGTGCAGTCATTGTTGTCTTTTGTGAAGCCATTGTTCTTTCTTCACAGTAATTTATTTTGTAAAAGCAGTTTCATTTACTCTTTATTTTTGGACATATTGAATTTAAGTGAACAGCGAGTTGCCATGAAATTTTTTTCCCTGTTTGGGGAAATAAGCTGCGGAAACTGTTGTGATGTTAAAAACAGGTGTACAAAGGGTTTTCATATTTCAAAGAGGGTGAAATGTTTCTTGATGACAAACCTTTTTCTAGATGTCCATAAACTTCCAGAGTTGAAGAAAATGTGAAAAATATGCATGCAATTCACTGCCTTAGACTGACTAACTTAACTAACATTTTCTAGAACCAGAAGTTATTTCTGCATCTTAGGAGCAAACAAACATCACTAGATATGTTAATATTGAAGTCAGGGCTTCATGTTTTTACAAAATTGTATATCTTATTAGTGAGAAAGGAACGTAAAAGGTGTCTTATTTGTCTGTCTCCAGACATTTCACGAGTGTAGTGAAGTCAGTCTGAGCCTATTTTAACGTCAGATAGATGATAACTTACTTCATGGAGACCGACGATGGATCATTGAGGTGATTAGTAAGTTATCTGGAATTAGAATTGTGTGGAACTCTGTTCACCAAAATTTTTCACATGATTTGGGGATGAAAAGGGTAACTGAAATTCTATGTTAATATTTACATTTGCAGCGTTTGGCTTATGTTATTGCATTTACGAGTACATGCACACTTAATGATGAAAACTTTTCTGAAGAAACAAGCTTGAAATTCTGCATTTTCAGAAATGCTCAAACGCTATCCCCCACCCCCCCTCACAAATGGCTTCAAATTTTATCTTCACACTTTTCATACAAATAGTGCTAATTGCACTGTTTAAGATAAAATTAATATTGCTTTATTTTCTTGTTTTTTTCACAAATGTAATTTTTTTAAAAAATTTCTCATGCCAGCCATTAATATGCACATTTTTAGCGATTTGTATACGTTAGTGCATTTATGAATGGAAGGGTTTAAAATTATTTCCAATGAAGTTTTTCAAAAACTAAAGATTTCTGTGAAAAGGAGCCTCAAATTTTGGATTTACACTAGAGCTTGAACAAGACCTTCTTAAAAATAGCTCCAAATTGTTCAACACAAATTTCCTTATAGGAGGAGCTTTTACTGTTCTATATTATTCTTAGAGTAATACATGGTCTTTAGCTTAACTCCCAACCCATATCTAAAAGCACTTGCTCTTGGTTTGGTAATTTGGCAACTGAGCGTTTTTGCCACTTTTCAAGACGGCAGTGTCTTGTGCATCGAGACAGCAAAGGAAGCGACCTTCAGGTCATAATATGCTGTAATCAAGTAGCCCCTATCTATGTTACTGACTGTCCAAACGGTATCTTCGTATCTTTCACGGATGAGAAGATAAAAGGGGTGTTATGACTTAATTGGTTCACCCTTTATAATGACAGTTGGCTTAGAGATAGAAAGATCTCACGAAACAATACTGCCAAGCTCTTCATTATTTATTACAATAATAATTTATTAATTTATCATTATAAAATGTTTATTATTATACAAATATATATTATTACACATAACACTCGACAATACTATTACACATATTACTCTAAAACAAATCAGTAGTAAATTATTAATTGAAAATAATTAATAAAAAATGTATAATTTCCGTAAAATGACAAAAAATTGACTGTCGAGTAAATGCGCAAAGTAACCACCATTTGCCAAGAGGTAGGGGTTTACTCTTTTCAGTGTGGTGGTTGCAGTACATTGAAGATTCACGAGGGCAGAATAAGTGCGTTCTCTTTCATCCAACTAAAATTAGCGACATTCTCGCACTCCGAAATACTAAGGTACGCAGCCGTGGGTTGCTAAAAGGGGAAAGGGATGCCAAAGGTATTTCATCTGTTGCCAAATTGCTAAAACAAGAGGTGGTGTTTCCAGACATGGGTTGCGAGTAAAGCTGAAGACACGGCATTCAGGTTCTACCATTAGAAAGAAAGAAAGAAAGAAAGTAAAAGTATGTGGCAAGACTGAAGAGATAACTCAGACCAGATAAATTAGAAAAGCACGTAGAACGAAAAGTCTGTGCCATTCTAATGCACCTCTTGTTTCAAAGATGTCACTTAAGTGTAATTGAAGATTATCCACAAACAGATCTTCCATTACTTCCTCAGGAGTAAAATTAGGGATTGGTGATGAATTATTGGAATATTGGTTACTGAAATATTTACCAAAGGTGAAAACAGTTTTCCAGAGAAGATACAGTAGAAGTATTTTTGTATCTGTTTTTGATAATATTTGGTTTGAGATAGCAAGTAGGAAAACATACTGTAGTAGCCAGGAGAATTGTTTCTGTAGGTTTGTTTTTTGTATTTTTTGAATAACTGACAGCAACCAGCTGTTATACACATCTCATAATTTTTTAATATTACAATTGTCTGTTTAAGACAGGTTAGGTGGTCACCACCTTTGTAATCTACCTCCTGTATACCATGAATAACATGCTTATGTTCCTCTTCCGGCTATTTCATTTATCTCCACAATGATTTCTAAGTTGGTTTTAAGATTAGAGTTCATTTTCTCAGTTGTTGCTTCTATCTTCTTTAGCTGTGACTCCATCCTTTGATTCACTTTTGTCGCCTATATCTCGGTTAACTCCATGTTCCTGCTTATAAACTCTCACTTCTTAAGTCTTAAAACAATATACAATACAAATTAATAACATCACTGTTTTGTTAAAATAAACATTATTTTTCTTTTTGATAAACAGTATAGTCTCTAATTGTGTAGAAACAGTTATGCAGCAGAAATTTTTTTTTTTCACTTAAATTTGTTAACAGACTTCATTTGTTTAATGTCATCTGTCAGTGTGTTGTAAAGTAACGTACATGTATTGTATGTGGATTTTTGATAGTGAGCTGTTGATACTGACTCTTGCTGAACATGATTTTTACATGTGTTGTAATTAAAAATATCAGTATTGCATGAAAATGTTTCCACTGTTAAGTCAGTCACTTTTGACAAATATTACAGATTTATAAAAATATAGGCAAAGCAGTGATAAGATTCCAAGCTCAGTGAAGAGAAGCTTGCAAGGGTAACACGGGCAATTTTTCATTATTTGAATAATTTTCTTTTGCAGTCTAAAGGTCAGAGTACTACATCATGCGTTTCCCCAGAATTTTATACTATATCTCAAGTGGGAATGTAAATTGCAATTATTATTTTTATACTAGGTATTTTAGAAGTGTTTTTATTTATTTATGTCTAAAGATTATACACACACATACACACTCACTCTCTCACACTCTCGCTCTCTCACACTCGCTCTCTCGCGCGCGCTCGCTCGCTCTCTCGCGCGCGCTCTCCCTCTCGCACGCTCGCTCGCTCGCTCTCCCTCTCGCACGCTCGCTCGCTCGCTCGCTCGCTCGCTCTCCCTCTCGCATGCTCGCTCGCTCTCCCTCTCGCACGCTCGCTCGCTCTCCCCCTCGCACGCTCGCTCGTTCTCTCACGCGCTCGCTCGCTCGTTCTCTCACGCGCTCGCTCGCTCGTTCTCTCACGCGCTCGCTCTCTCGCCCTCTCTCGCACTCACAGATATATAGAGAGATATAGATATACGCGTGTGCAAATTAATATACACAATTCTTGATATCAACTTATTTTAATAATCCATACCGTATTTACAGAATATTATAAAACGAGTATGAAATATGTTCATCTCTGGCTTCAATAACTAGTTTTACACTTTTTGACATAGAATGAACCAATTTTTGACACATCATTTTAACTTCATTGTCTTTAAACCATACGCTGATTAACGAAGAAAACATGGTTTCTTTGTTTGTGCAATTCATTTTGCACATTCTTCATTTAAGGATAATATAATCCAATGATTTCTCTGTGGGATTGAGGTCTGGTGAATTTCCTGGCCAGTTAAAAAAATGTTAAAGTTTAACCTGAAGAGGACAAACACTTGTGTTGAAACGTGAATCTTGTATGTCAGTTAATGTATTAAAAACGTGTAGTTTAAAGAAAAATTCAAACTGCCTTTAATTATTTATATATATATATATATATATATATATATATATATATATAATATATATGAAAGAGCCTATAATGCTTTAAAGCTTCTAGAAAAGAAGGTAACATTCAAGGAGACTAATTTATCAGATGAGTACTATGTAACATTTGTTTTCACAACCTTTCCACATATCTAGTAGTGAAAGGTTGATTTATAGTATTTTAATTCGGTAAAAAAGTTCTTGTTAGTTACTATTTAGATTGACATTGTTGGAAAAGGAATTTGTGATAAAACAAAGTTCATCACTTTAGGCAAACAGACAGAATGGCTCCCAGGTCAAAAAATTATCCGGTCATACTTAACACTGAAACGTAGGTTTAACTCTAATTCCCAAGAGGTTGGCATTGCCTCAAACTAGTGGATGATTTTCAAACTATATGACCATTTTTCTGAGGTCTTGGTCAAGAAATGTTGTGCTGTCATACTGTTTTGAGTAGTAGTGGCTTCTCATCTGTTTTATCTTATTCTTTAGGGATCCTGGAAGAGGAGGAAGAAATGATGGATTGTAAAAATGAAACGATAGCAGAAGCCTTCAGTGATACCGAATGGGAAGCTGCTGATAAGCAATTTACGGAACCTCCTGTTGTGCCCATTGCCAGTAGGGCCCTTAGCAATTTAATGTGTTCCTATGCATCTGATGCTTCAGACTCCGAAAGTAAGTTCCTTGAAAGCATATTGCAGAATTGAGTTATGAGAATCCATATGTAGTTCATAATCTTTAGAAAGTAAATCACATTACTACTTTACAGATGATGGTCCTATGGAAATTCCTATTCTGAAGACTGAATTTATAGCTCCTTCCTCAACTGTACAAGTAGTGGCTGTTAATTCTACTACTGAGGAATGCGATAGGCCGGATGGATGTAATAATGCGATGGAAGTAAAAGACTCTGTAGGAACACCAGTTGATACATCTAATGAGAAACACAATGATCCTTGCAAGAAAGACTCTGTAGGAACACCAGTTGATACATCTAATGAGAAACACAATGATTCTTGCAAGGGAATTGACACAGATTTGCCAGATAATGCTCCTTTTGCCATGAACTGTGATAATTTTCAAGTGTTGTCTGGAAACCGTGTTGCATTAAGCAATGATACTGAAGTATCAGAGTTTGCAGATTCTTCGGACATAAGTTCTCATTGTTTCACAAGGGAAGCCATTGATACAGAAAACATTCCTCCTGCAACGTTTGAGGACTCTAAAGATATTTCCAATGGTATTTCTAATGTACCTGATCAAGCAGAAGAAATTGATGAAATGACACCTGCATTTTCCAATACAGAAACTGGTGAAGGACTTTTGCCTAAAAATGAAGAAAGTGATTTGCAAGTTGAAAGAAACAGATTTAGAACTATCAATGATACTGGTCATACTAGGTCAAGGGATACGCAAAGAAAAAATGATCAAATCTCAAGACAAAGTAGATTTAATAAGAATGCATTTCAAGGACAATATCTCAGAAGGCAGAGGAAGACTCTTCTAGAGAAGGTAAGAATAATTTTATTTATGATTTGTTATAAAAAAGTAGTTTTGTATTTATTTCTAAAATTCTTCCAGTTGCTGGCCAAAGAAATTCTTCATGAACGAAATGTGATACTGCAGTGTGTAAGATATGTAGTAGATAATGATTTCTTTGGTGTTGGACAGAAAAAAAAATGTATTCCTAATACTGAACTGAATATAATGAGTGATGGTGCTATGGAAAGTAAGAAGAATAGTGTTTTGTTACAAAGTATAAAGTTTATTGTTGAAAGAAATTTCTTTGAAACATCAAAATGAAGAGAATAGACTCCTTTCTTAAATAAGTTGTACCTTGACTGTTTATGTTAATTTCGTTTGTTTTTTAATAAAAGATTTTCAATAGATAGGATGTATTTTAGTTTGCTTACCCAGAAGTGATCAGTCTTAGAATTTTAATTTGAAGAAAACTGAGTTGCGACATTCTTTGGCTGTGGTGTTGAGCTAGTACTTGCTAGGGGTGACTATAAGAATTTTTGATATTGGTTCTTTTGGCATTTATGACAATTTGATTTAGAAGAATATTGTAAATTGTAGCAGAGAATCTTGGCTTCAGAAGAACATGGAAACAAAAAAGACATGAAAAATTCAATGTTCTAAACAATGGCAGATAAAGTGTAATACGTTCAATGATATATAATACATTCTCCAGAGTTTCAGTTTAAACAAATGTTGATATTAGGAAAAATAAAATAATTTTTTTATGAGTAGTTTGTTGAAATAGTAGAATGTTTTAAAAATCTCCTATTCACTTGATGCACTTAGTATGCCTACTAGCCATGTTAATGTCATTGACCAATATGAACTAGCAGAAATAAGTGTTGAAGTTAGATGTCCCTTTCTTTTGTAGGAATATGAGTTTGTATTGTGTTGGTAAGAAAAATATATACAAGGGAAAATTTCTTAAAATACAGAAAATAGTTTTGTGACTGAGTGACTTCAACAAACAATATTAGTTATGACTAATATTGTGAGGCTATGGCATCTTGTGAATCCTCTTTTCATGCTACCCTCTACTTTTACACTACAGTACTTTTAACCACGATGTGATGCTGTTCCGAAACATGGAACCATATTTGATGCCTACCTCTACTTCCTTGTCAGGGTTAAAATATTGTAATAAATATTGCATCATTTGCCGGGAAACGCTGCGCGAATCGCGTTATCTGCTGGCGCCCCCCCCGAACCGGACGGTTCCGGGTTATTCGCGAGTCGCGTAGAAATATGGGGCAACTGCCGAATGTGTCAAAACGGGCGCCGATCAGGTAAAATAATTCTCCGCTGCCGGCGGCCGCGATTCGGTGAATAAGCAGTCAGTTGGTGCAGTAGGTGTACAGCAGTGCAGTGGACCCTGATTAGCGCATCATATTGTGTGATAGTGTAGAAGTGAACAGTGTAAATAAATAATCAGGAGAAGAGTCGTGTATAAAGAAAATAATCAAGTGAAGAACACAAGGACTGTGTAATCTATCTATAAATAAATCAAGTATTTTTTAGTGTAGCATTGAGAAACAAAATAAACTTTTTTGTTAAATTTTACCTGTGTTTTAATTCACAGAGAAACGTCATCTTCTTTGCCATCACGTGGCAGCTGTGAGATAATGGTTTATCAAGTGTAATAAAGATGAATGTCGTGACTGAAATGTCTACAATGTTGAATTCCAGTGTAACCTTCTTCCCTAATCCTTTCTTTAGGCATTTGTCATGCACAAAAGGTGTTTTATTTAATAACAGAATATTGTCTTTTGCCATTAACCTCATGGACAGGACTCTTCAAGATGTTTTAACAAAAACAAACAAAACAAAAAAAACTCATCTTTTCAGTACAAGGGACCCCCAAAATGTGCTTTTCTGTCAAAATAACTGATTTTTTGCAGCTGCACCCAGTTATCAGCCAGCAAATGGAAGCTGTGTTTTTCTGGTTAATATCGTGCACAAAACGTACTACTGGTACTACGGAATGGTACAGACTTTCTATAACCAGTTGGTTTTCTAATTTCTTTGGTTTGGGCTAGCTTTTCAATATTTTCCCCAACCTCTTTTCCAGCTGCTATCACCTCCCAAAGTGCTTTTTCACATTTTTTCAATTTTTTGGTTTCCTAATAGCAGAATTGAAACATGGCTTTTAGTGTGTTATAAAAGGGAACAAAATTGTTCTAAATGTAAATTTACATTGTAAAATCTATAACAATATAATTTATATTGTATCCGTACAAAAAATTTGGAGCAGTTTTGAGAAATTTGAAGCTTTCACAGAAAACAATAGTTTTGAGAAAACTTTGTTAATCATTTGAAGTGCTTATACTCACAAATGCAATAATGTATACAAATTGCCAGAGAGGTAAATATTAATGTGAGAGATATTTAAAAAAAAATGCATTTGTATAAATTTGGAAAAACAAAAAAATTCTTTTTTGCCATCTTATGCAGTGCATTTAGCACTATCCGTACAAAAAATTTGAAGAAAAATGTCGAGCTGTTTTGGAGAATATGGTATTTAAGCGTTTCTCAAAATGGAGAATCGAGTTGTGACAAAAACTTTTGAGTTTTTGAGAAACTTAGATGTACTCAATTATGTATACAAATCGTCAGTAATGTAAATATTAGACACATGAAGATTTCAAAAAAGTTCCATTTGAATAATTTGTGAAAAACAAAAGAATTGAGCAAAACAGCATTTGTCATATTTTACAGTTCATTTACCACTACCTTAAAAGAAAATATTTGGAGCTGTTTTGCAACAATGTAATTACCACTGAGAAATATGTTGTAGCATTAGTTTGATTTGAAGGTCATGTAACAGCATGCCATGTAACTCAGTGAATAAACCTTTCTTAACCTGTTTAATCTGAGTGTTGCATTTTCACAACAGTGAACTGCTCTTATTTCCTATTACCTTTAAGAATTTAGTTGAAGCCAAAGGAATGTTGCCAAAATATTGACTGAAGCTAGGCACCATAGCAAATGAAAGATAATTACAATTCAAATGTTATTGAATTAACCATGCAAATTTATAGGTACATCTTGAAAGTACATATACACATTTTCAAATAATATCCATAGGAAATTCAATTACAAAGTGAAGTATTCGTTTTTGCAATGTTGGGCATTTAGGTTATCTACCTCTAAAAGGTGAGCTTCTGGAATTGTAAAAATGACTTGGTTCAAAAAAGCAAAGAGTATTTTTACTTTCCCAGATACATACATACATATGGAGGCATATACATAGTATAGGGTAAGTTTGGTAATTCTGCGAAAAATCAAATTCCAGATTTCAATGGAAATAAGTTATGGGGTCCACTGATACCGAAAAAGTGTTATTTTCAAAACCTCCTCCTGTGTGGGTATGTGAACTACACTAGCACCTAAACCATGCGCAGGATTTTTTTTGCAAATTGAAGATACCCATCCCCATGATACCCATGTCAATTTGCCTGAGTCGAAGCTCTGCGATTTTGAAAATCATTCGTTTTGGGGGCGGGGGTACATTACATGAAGCCCTAGGGACATTTTTCAAAATTTTCTCCAAAAATGGCTCCAATATTTTCTTTAAATTTCTTCTAAGAATACGGTAAAATGCACTTACAAAGGTGGTATAGTTCCAATTCTGAATTCCAACAACTATAAAATTAAAGATAAGAGATTTTTCCTTGAAATGTAATTTGTTGTCCATTATTTCTTTCATTGTCATGTACATATTTTCAAAATCGTAGTTGTTTTCATGCAATTTTAAATAATTACAAAAACACGATTTTCTAAAAAAGGCTCCAAATCTTTTCTTCAAACTCTTGGTAGGGATTGTGCTAAATATGCCCTATAAGATGATATAAATGCCGTATTGCTGCATTATTTTGGTTCTTCAAAAATTACAAAAATGTGTTTTTTTAAAATTTTTTTTACTTTTCTCTCACATTGTTATTATTTACATTAGTGGCAATTTTTTCACGTTATTATATTTATGAGTACATGCACTTCAAATTATTTCATATAAAGCTTCTCTCAAAAACTCAACAGTTTATACAAATAAATATGCATAAAAATTATTTATTTACATTAGCTGATAATTATAACTTCATGTTTGAAAAATCAAAATCCAGCGTGTTTAAATGTCAAAACAATTATTTTAAAAAAAATGTATTTATTTATACTTGCTATGGTTGCTTTATAACAACCAGGTCATCATTTATTTAATCTGTAATCACAGATCTCTTAAAACAGAGTAACAAATTGGTTTCATTAAATTGCATTTAATTTCTTCCTGAAATGTGCATCAAAAACAGTATATCTATTTTTCATATTTTAAAACCTTAATAATTTTTTAAAAAAATGTAATGTTTCCCCACACCAAATGCACAGGAGAAATGTGTGTACAATGTTTTCAACTTTGTAACAAAGGACAATAAAAGATACAAAAGAAACAATTCAACTCAGTTTATTAGCTAATAATAAGAATTAATCTCACTTAAAAATAAACAACTAATCTTGAGGTTTGAGGAATGTATATTTCTTTTTATTTGGAACTGACTGACTATCTGCTTCAACTTGTCTCTTTGTTTTGAATTTCTTGGCAGTAGTATTAACAAGTGAACTATAGTGGTGAGCCATTTCTTCTTCAGTTACATCTGCTTCTTCTTCTTTAATTTCAGGTTCTTCTTGAACTATTCCTGCTTCTTTCTGCATTATGAGTTCAATTTCTGGATTCATTCCATTAAATGACAGCCTTCCAACTATCAAATCTTCACATGGAATGTAACTTGGTTCAATAATATACTTGGTTCTGAAAACAGTGTGATCAATGAATAAACAGATTCCTTTACTAAAAGTAACATGCACTTCTGGAAATCTTTAAGCTTTCACGATGAACAGAATTTCCAGGCTAAATTTTGTCCCCCACATTTCTCTAATGCAATCTAATTATTACTTGAATATATATGTATACATACATAGAGTAATAAACTTAGTACAGGAAAAGTATCTGTCTGTATAAAAACATTCGCAACTAGACTATTTGTAGGATTTTTTCTGAAATGAATATTCACCGATCAACGTAGCCCAACTTCAAAAGCTACGAATATTTATTTATTGGTTTACGTGATATTCCCTTTGATACATATAATATGGGAGTACAAGATACACATTTGTTAATGCAGTCCCAAAGAGTAAATTTAAGAACAATATCTAATTACAGAACAGGTGGTTTGATAGAGCAATTCTTGGAGCATGTTCGTTGCTTGAGTAAGTAATGTCAAAAAAAGAATTATTTGTTTACAATACTTGTTAGCAGTAGAGGTAATACGGTAGAAGGTATTATTCATTTGATAGTCAGTTTTCACATTTGTTATGACAGGTATGAGAGAAAATAATAAGGGATTACGTGTCGACATCTGAGGGGTCCAAAATCTAATCTTTGGAAGAAAGTAGAAAAATTAATTCAACTGACCAAAATTTCAAACAGAAAGATAAGGTCACAGATTGTTTTTCTATACTCAAGAGGACAAATGTTTTACAAGGAATTAGTGGAGTTGTGACAAAACTGTGGGGTTAGGGCATCCATTGCGAAATGCTGAGATGCACATTAACCTGCGTTGGACCTTCGCAAGTTGATTTACAGCCTAACCTGCGAGTTCAAGAGAAGTTTGATTGTGTAGAGTGATCGAAATTATGATAAGTTTTACAAGATAAAACCCAGGGATTGCAGAGCTTTGTTAACAATACTTGAAACTCGTTGAAATTGAGTTTATTGTCAAAGATAACTCAAAGGTCTCTGATGTAGTCAACTACAGCCAATATCCTGCTGTTGAGTCTACATAGAAAACTAAGTGTTCCACTTTCTGGAGAAGTTTAATGATACAGTACTTATGCTTGTGAAATATGTTCAGAAGACGCCAATTTTCAACAGATAGTAAATCAAGTTGCAACTTGATGGCATCATCAGTATTAACAATCAAATGATAAATCTTAGCATCATCAGCAAAAAGAAGGATATTACTGTTTTAAGACTAGGGAGATCATTGATAAACAAGTAGAAAAGTGAAGGGCCCAGGTGAGATCCCTGCAGGACTCCAGATGGTAGATGGTAAGAGAATAGATATCATTCAGAGAAACATACTGCAGTCTGTTATGTGAAAAAGAATTGATCCATGAAAAGAGTGGATCGCCGAAACCCATCTTAGTTTATAGACTGAGATCGAACGATCAACCTGGTCTTAGCAATTTCTGTATAGATTGTATTAATTTGAGAGCTGTCAGTGAGCGAATCAACTGTAAACCTTTTGAATATGACCAAGTTTATACTGGTTGACCTGCCCTCCCTGAATTCAGACTGGGAGTCTGAGAGTACAGGCTCAGTAGATGTAAGATTAATGCACACTAGTTTTTCAAACAGCTTAGGGATAGTGCTTAAGATGGAAATGGGTGGTAGTCACATCAGATATATGATTTATGATCAGGGATAATCTTGCGCTTCTTCCAAACATCAGGAAAAGACCCACGTGGGGGATTGGTTAAATAGTAAGAATAATGGGTTAGCTATGGCATATCTGCAATGTGACAAAAACAGATGAGGCATAGATGGGGACCTGGACCCTTTCTTGGATTTAAAGAACCAAGCTTCTCAAAGAATGGAAGATTGTCGATGGAAGGGTCATAAGACAGATGGTACACCCGAAACCTTAAAAAAATGGATCCGAATTTTTTCGTCAAATTTCCTGTAAGAATAAAGTGAAGTACATTGTTAACTCTGAATTTTCACATATTGCTAAGGTTCACAATGTTTTGGACTTCTTTGTACATTATTGAAAATGGACATATTTTTCTTTAAATAAATTCCCCTCTTCCCAACAATTAGTTAAATTAAAGTTGTGCACATTTTTTAAAAATATTGGGTTTTGCATAACTGTTGAGTTGAATATGGGCAATAAAAAAGATAATATGAAAAATGGCTCCACATTTTTTTTGGAAAGGTTTGTAGAGAAAGAGCTAAGTGCACTGAACAACAGGACATTAACAGCACTTTGCTGTAACCTTACGCTTTTTCAAAAGTTACACAAATATATTTTTTTTTCACATATCTCATTACAGAAGTTTTTATCCATTTTTGTATTTGTGAGTGCAAGAGTTTCAAATGAATTCTTATAAAGTTTCTCAAAATATTGAAATTTTTTATTGTGGTGAAAATGAGCTCTATAAGATGCATTTTTAGAAACACTCAAACAACGTTTTTAAAAACTACTCCAACATCAATGAAAATTTGGGTATAGAAACTAATTTTACTCTCCTAAAATATTCTTAAAGAGTCATTTCCATTCTTCTATTGGGAGGCCGAAATATTGAGATAATATAAAAAAAATAGTGATTTTTGATAAAACAATTTTCTCGTATATATTTTGAGAATGTAAACTAAATCATTGCGTTAAGTAATATGTACTGTAAATATTATGATGTTATGAGTTGGTTAATTTTGAGAATATTGTTCGTTATTGAGTGCGATGTTTAAAAATTTTGATGCCAATGTAACTTTGCGTTTTTGCTAGGTCAACAAATGTTGTCAAAAGTTCTTCAGATACATAAATACAATTTAAAAAAGAACAATAAGGAATGTCGTTTTTTGCATAAATATGTATTTTTAAGTTTCACTATTGATTTTATTATGTTACACAGCAGTGTATGTTTTCAATACTAATTGTCAGACGATTTGACTTCATGTGACACGCTTGAGGAATGTGATTCAAAATACATAAGACACAAAAGCTGTAGGTTCAAAACCCTCATGAAACAAGACTGAGGGATGGTGAATTCTGAGTCCCTCATATATTACATCTATACCATAGAATGGTAAATTCTGTTGGAACTGTTTTGTCCAGATTTGAAAAGATTTGTTCAATTTGAAAAGAATGTAAAAAGTGTAATGCTTAACAAATTTATATAATGTAAAAATACCTCCTAACAATAGTGTAATTTTTATTTTCAATATTTTGCTTGATATACATATACTGTAAACATAAATCAAAACTAAATAGAACAACACAAGGAAAAACAGCAGAAAGAAAAGTACATGAATTCAAAAAAGATGTAAGTATATTACTAAAGACAAATCCAACTACATGGCAGTTCATACCTTGAAACTTAGATTTCATATCAGTAAGTTTAATGTGCGAAAATATCGTTTGAATCATAGGCATGGAGGAAAATAATGAACATGAAATAGCAAGACAAAAGAAGCTGACATGTTGGGATAATGAACCCAGAACTCACAAGAAGCCAAAACAATTAAACTGAAACTAAGTTATTTGGGGCATAAAGAGATCAAAATCCCTGGAAAAAGGGATAATGCTTGAAGAATTTGAAGGAAGAAGAAAGGAAGAAAAAATTAACAATTAAGGTGGCAAAACGAAATATTCCAGATAACCAACCTCGTCATATTCAAGTTCATTAAGTGTTTTAAGACAGAAATCAGAGGAAGTTTATTCACATCAAAAACCAAGGAAAAGATTTTGAGTGAGCTGTGAACAAATGGTCGGTGTTCATATCTAATTAAAATATCACCTGTGATTTACTACAATTACATGTGAGATATTTCAATATATTTACTGGAGGTATTTAAATATATCCAGTGATATATTCACAAATAATATCCATTGATATTTCCATTCCTGAGATGTTCAATTTGTTTTCTTTCATAACAGAATTATAATGAAACTTTTAAAAACTTATCCAGAGAAAATTAAATTTTGCAATCTGGAGGAAAGAAATTCTCTAAACCAATTCATACTCCAAAGCCCCTACATCATTTCCAATTTCCAATTCAAATTCAATGATAAGAATTTATTACCCTTGTTTCATTTTACTTGGTATGGCAAACAAAGATTCAGTTTCTTCAGCTTCTAGTTCTTTTTCAGCTTTTTCTTTACTTCTTTTCATAAACTGGAAAAAAAAAAAAAAAAAAGTAAACAAATATGCAATAATGGTAAATTCCGTCATTCGAAGATTCTCTTTGATCTGTGGTAAATGCATCCTTACCTTCATCTCCAGCAAACCTTTGGATAATTTCTTTTTTTCTGCATCGTGACGATTCATTTTTAACAATTGTTAATAAAATATTTTTAAATCGTCCAACGACGAAGTGTACACTGGTGTACAGTTAATAACTCACACGTGACACAATAAAAAAAACACTATTTTCGTCAGGCAGCCTCAAATCTTCTGGTCAAACCCGATTCTATCGTTCGTCTTACCAAGACTGGATACAAGAAATTGTTAATGTGTTTTTAAAATGTACTAATACATTGAGGTTATTTCGAAGTAGCACGCGTATTTTGCAGAACAATTCCCTGTCGGAAACATTTGCTAGTCAGAAACAAACTACCATCACATGAAAGAAAAAAGTTCAGTTATAAGATGGATGATGGTCAGATACGCCAGAATTTTTTATAAGCGAAGTCGAAGTTACTTACAGTAATCGAGTAAGCTACTCGAAGTAATTAAATCATTATTGTTATGATACAATCCAACTACTTATTTTCATGATCACCAAGGTAAATACCGGATATAAATATTTGTTTTGACTATCCATCTGATATGTTGGGCTGGTATGTTTAGATGCCTGTATTTTCTACACATTGACTGGGTCTGACCGGACAACCCGGGGGTGGTTCCTGTGAGTGGATAACCTAACTTTCATGTTGTTTAGTGGAAATATTTGTGATCCTTTCCAAGCATTAAATGTATTTTACCATCGTCAAGTTAGAAGTTGCTACTGAAGTTTAATTGTATTTTTTATAATTTAGGATGGGTCATTAGAAATGTTAGACTTCATTGTACACCAGCATGAGGGTTAAGGGGAATGAAAACTGCAAAATACAACAATAAAGTTTGGGTGAAGACCTGCAAACAAGTGTTGGAACTTGTAATATTTTAAAACTCTCATCTGGCATATTCTAATTTTAATTGACAATGGCAGCAACACTTGTGAGAAGGCGATTGCCTTTTTACACTGTTCTTAAAACCCAGTGTCGCTCTGGGTATATTGTTTTGTAAGTAGATAGATGAAACTAACAGTTTATAAATTTTTTGTATGAATTTGATAATGTGTTATTGACAATAATTAGCTGTGGAGTTTTCGCAAATTTTCATCAAGTACTTTGGTTCTAGACTTCCTGAGGCAGCTCAGGATCAAAATGCACCGCAAACAACATTTAATGCAAAACAACTCCCAGAAATAAATAATCTTACCACTGAAGAATGTATATCACTTGTGGGAAAATTGTCATTAGATTTTGAATCTGGTTTATGGAATGTAGAAGAAAAATGTAAAAGTAAGTTTCATAATTCTTTAATGGAAATACAAGTAATTCTTAATTTTATACCAAATAATAAGATTTCTGTTTTCAAAGAAATTCAATGTTAATTTGTAATCTTAATCGGTTAGCTGAAATAAATTGTTAACATAATTAACAAATAATATTTCATCGAAAATTATTTGTTTCTTGTGCTGAAATTTTTTAGTTTCAGTCAATGAATTGATTAAAACAATCTTCTACCTTAGGGGTTTTTGGTACTTGTTTTGTTGCATTTTGTTCTGATGCGTAATGAAAACGTTGTTTATGTTCTCATGGCCCTGCATAATTTTTGTGCACTGAATTTAGAAAAAGAATTTAAATCTGAAGAACAAATTCTTAGATCAAGAGGTTATTTATTTTTCAATTCAGTATTATTAACCTTTCTTAGATCCCAAAAATATGAACAAGTTTAGGATAATAGACAAGTTTACAATTACATTTTAAGTTGCTTTTTTATGCTACTTCAATGATCAAAGAGATACTTACTTTAAACTTCTTAGAATTTTATTTTTGAATGTGTAGAGATTAATAATTAAATAGTGATGTTGCAGTGAAATATTAAGTAAAATTACATTTAATAATTTCAAGTGATGTGTAAATAAATTTTAATAATGCTGATAAGTCAGTGAGATTGTGTAATAATATTGTCAGCCTGTTTAATAATTTCCATGTTGTCAATGTGTAAACCTTGTAATAACTTTTGATATTTGAAATTTTAATGAGTTGATGGGGGAAGTATAATTTTTTAGAAAAATAAAAAAGTAATATGGTGTTCCTAAGTTTATAATTGATTTGTAAATTAGTGTTGCGTGTTCATGTTCTGAGAAGACAATGCTCCGAGATCTTTTCTGTGAAGTGTTACCAGTATTTGATAGTGTTATTGCTCCCATAAAGCTGCAGAAATAGATCTGATATTAGATGTTTCAAAATGGTTTTAAAAAACAAATTAATAGTGAACAAAGGAAAATGGTTACCATGTGGTTTTGCTCTTTAAACTAGCAACTGAATGCACCCTTAAAATGCAATGATGTCAAATGTGTGATTGCCAAGGTCAAGTTTTGTTTTTCTTAACTGAGTCAAATCTCAAATGGAATGCCCACATAAATGAATTAAATCTTAAATAAAGTTCATTATGTTAGATGTCAATGTTTGTCACACAGCTTGTTGCTTTTATTTTGCTAGTGATTCCCACTGTTTACCACCTAAGATATGGACATAATATTCTGGGGAAATTTATCCTCTAATGGTCTGAGTTTTAAAAAAGAATTGTACAATTAAGTCTGTATGCTTCTTACAAGTCTCTCTTTTCTGAGCTTGGAATACTACAATTGCCTCATCTCTTCAATATCAGTTCAGTCTCTCTTTAGATTGTCTCGTCAGGAATCAATGTTTCTTTTTTTCTTCCTTTTTTATTGCTTATTTCTGAGAGGCTGAATATGCTGGAAACAAGAATTGTAATTCTGTGTGCTCGATCCCCATCTAAATCAGGTTTTTCATGTTTTCTCTTGACAAGTTCTTGGGTAGTTCCTTCTAGTCAAAAGTGTAAATTCATTTGCACTACTCTCCCTAGTACAGTTGTTACTGTTGTTTGATGAAAACTATTTGACTAACTAAATACAGTTGACTCCAGATAGAGTGAACTCATAGTTATAATGAACCTAAGTCACTGATCCAATTTCACTTGCATTACAATTAAGCTTAAGAAGATTTGGTTATATTGAACACTGATCCTCAACTGTAGTATTCATTAGTATTAGTATTAGCATTAGTATTCATAATATAATACAGAATTCAAATTCAGAAGAAGCCTCTCCTGAGGTAGAGGTAGCAGACTCGAAATGTTTCATTCAGCAATCAGTTTCATTACCTGCTTACATCATGCTACTACCGAAAGGATCTCATATGTTATTAGGTCCCTTTTAGGACCTTTGGAGAGTATAATGGTGTTCCAACAGTGCAAGGGGTATTGAAGGGTGACAAGACTGCATAACAATTCTTAGAGACAGTGGGCAAATATGGAGGTAGCATGAACTAAAGAAATTGCTAATGAAAAATGTGTGAAGTAAACAATTGAAAATAAATGATTTTTTAAGGTCAAATAATGATACTGAAATTTTCAGTTGGTACTGTCAATGTATTTTGCTGAATCTCTGTAGTAAAAAAATTAATAATTGTGGAGAAATTCTATTTAATATTGCCATCGGATCCTCAGTGAACCTCTGATATTGTTAACCAAAAATGTTGGTCCCCAAATGTTCACTTTAACTGGAGTAGACTGTAGATAGTCAATGAGAATGCTCTAAAACCCTTTAAGAAAAAATATGGAAAATAATTTTGAATATATTGAAATATATTTTAAAATTGAAATATTTTTGAAAATATATTATAAAGATTTTATCATGCAGACCTGGGTTCTCATGATACTTACAAATCCTCTGAATATTAGTTCTGCTAGAGAAGTAAAATATCTCTTTATCTATAGCATGAAAAGTTGATATTGCTTGTTTTAAGAAACAACTAATGGGAGGACATTCATCAGTGAAAAATAAATTCATTTTTACCTTTAAATACTTTTTACTTTGATTCTAGCAAAAGTAAGAATTTATATTAAACTGCTGTGAATAGATTTCTTTTCTGTAAATATTGTGGTTTGTGGTTTTGCAATTTATTTCATGTGTATTTTATGCTGTAAAACTAATTTTTGAGAACTTCATTAATCTAGAGTAGTGTGATATTACACTAGACTAACAAGATTGGTGCATTTAATCTGTGAAGAACTAAATATCATTACCCTTTTACTTATATTCAATTTTCTGTTATGTTCACTATTTAAAACAAAATTATAGTCAAGAGTGTATTTTTTTACCTTTAGATGAATCTGAACTATCACCAGATCTGTTTCAAGAGGTGTTGGAGCCTTTAGAAAAAGTTAGTGCTCCTTTGGATGCTGCTTGGGGCATGATGAAAACATTATATTTAACCAACTCTAAAATAATGACTGAGAAATGTTATATGACAATTCATGAACGAGCCCGACGAGCAAGAACACAGAAATTTTACAATGAAAAAATATTTTCAGCTTGTAAAGTAAGTATTTATGTTATATTTAATAATCATGAATTGGAAATTGTCAGATCTCCAGTATTTATCTGCATCAATCTATAAAAAAAGCACTATAGGAACTAACAGAATTTATTATTATTATTTATAATTACTGATTATGTGGAAATCCTGATTCTTGTAAGAGATATTTATAAAGAGAGCTAAAAAACGAAGTTAGGGATTTCAAGATTCATTCTTCAACCAGACATGCCCAGATTGTACTTGTTCCCATAAGTCAAATGCCGCTTCGACTGTTTTGTGACAATAAAAGTATTATCTCTCTTATAATTTGAAATCCTCTACTTACAGAGCGTTCAGGGCAGTAAACTATTATAATGACAGCTTCTATAACAGATGAGCGTCGCCTACGACCGCATCGCTCTCCGCTAAATATTCTTCCCCCAGTCAGCTGAGAAGCATTAACAGCTGACCGCGGTTTACTGAATTTTGTTGTTAAATGTAATTTTGATTGTGTGGTGGTTCTAAAATGAATAAGTTAAGGGTAATGTCAAATCTTTTTTCAAACCAATGAAATGAGTTTCCTACTGATGTAAGGATACTGACTATATCTCTATTAAGTAGAGACACTAGAGGGCCCAGGCATGGGAACAACACGAGGAACGTTATCATCAGAGTCACCTTGATTATTTACTATGACAGAAATCCCTGAAGCATCCTGCCTAACTTCTACTTTCCAGTCTTCTTCTATAATTTTTTCTGTGTGTGCCACATAATTCTTCCAACTAAAGCAATGTGCAGAATGAATAAGTGCTTTATATTTTACAAATTTTCTCCAAAAAATACTCAAGGCAATATTTAGTTTTTCATTTTAATATTCACTTCCTTCTCCACTGAAACCTGGTTTAATGCTTGCATTCATTTTTTTGTCAAAAGTGTTTCTGCGATGTCTCTGATAATATCTTTTGCACTAGCTCCAAGTTGCAAAAGTCTATATCCAGCTTCTTCAATCATTTCATCTACAACATCATTTCTTTTGCACGCACATCAACCAATATGATTTTTCAAATAATTAAACCATTGGCAATCACATTGTATCAAAATCATGCAAAGAATAAAACTGCCTTATTCTATGATTAATTCAACAAAACATGCTTAAGAGCACCTTTTCTGAACATCTACTTCAGAAGTTTTCAAAAGAAGACTCTTAAAGGTATGCTCAAGTCTAAAGGGTATGTTGTGCTGAGTTAGAAAATGCTGCAGGTCACCCTTCATCTATTTTGATGAAGGCCTTTTCACTTTCTAAAAGATTGGAAATGACAAAAGGATGTTTAAATATTTCAGTTATATTCAAAGATAACATGCTTTTCTTTTCATTCTCTCTATAAATACATATAAAACATTCTACTGGAAAAGTTGATGTTCTCTAAGAAAAATTGTATGACTAATGTAACTAAAATCACTGAACACCATTGAATGTAATAAATTTTCTATTCGACCCTTTTTAGTGATGGAAATAAAAGTTGAAACATCCACTTTCACCACTGTGTAGTTTTAATACTCGTTTTATAATCAGTTATTTTTTTAAAGGTATAAATGTATTATTTTAATGAATATTTTTCACATTCCTAATAAAAGTATTGATGAAATGTCACTCACCTGCACAGATTGAACAGGTGCAATGTCCATCACAATAACTGATGGCTCTGCTAACCGAGGTAATAATTCTTCTTTCATCCACTTTTGGAACATCTTTGCTGTCATAGTTCTTTGATATTCATCTATTTCTTTTGTCTTTGACGGAAACAATAGTTCTGCATCTTTGATGAAACCATTTGCATCTCCTGCATGTAAGACTATATACCTTATACCTTCATCTCAATTTTTGCTTGAGAAACTCTCATTTTTATCTTTCCGTGACTGAGAGGCAGCACCTCAGATAGATCGTTAAAAACAATTAGTAAAGATGATCTACTGAACTAAAATCGTATTGAACCAGTATGTAGGTGCTTCAAACTGGTCAAACAATATTCATCATACACATAAGACATTACACACACTGCTATTTCTCAAAAGATGCATTTCATTATATGCTAATCATGCTTTCTCTATTCACTTGTATCTAGAATTTCATAATTTTCAACACTACAAAATTTAGTAGATTTTTTTCTTGCCTTTTGAATAAAATCAAGTCTCATCCAAAAACACAAATTAATAACCTTCAGCCTTCAGTTTCATATATTCCATCAAAAAATCAGATCTCGCAATAACAATTATCATTTCTTTCCATTAGTGACCTGTAATTATCCATCTCTTTCCATTCAAACCCCATGGCATGAAGCAGAAAAGACAAATTAGTTTTCCACCATAAACCCTATATCACTATCATGTTTAACTGCAGTGAAAATTGTGTGCAGAGCTCTGAAAAAAAATGTATTATACAAAACAACATAGGAACTCTCTTACATGCAAATATAAATAAATTACTTACCATTCTCATACATTGAATAAATAATGTGCCTAATCAAGCTCTGTCCAAAATCATCCACTACATGTTTTGTTCTCTTCTATTCGTGGACTCTTCCTTTTTGGAGTCTGAGCAGTATCAGGGTCTTGCTTCCAATATCTGTAAAATTAAATTCAACATTATCCAAAATAATTTCACCTGACACTTTTATTATAATTTTACTTACTTTTTAACAATGTGAGTTTTCAGCCTCAATGCATAGGTAGTTTTGTCAATAACTGAAGAAGTTTCTATATTGCCTCGCATTATCAGCTCTTCCACAAATCTTGCAATAAAAAAGTTGTCTTCTTGGCGCGGATGCTGTGTCACTTATCCCTTCTGTGGTTTACTCATTACTAATGTTGCTTAAAAACTATTAATATTTATTATAAACTACATTAAATATTACAAAAATAAGTATGTACTATAAGAAATAAAGTAATTAAAATGCAAGAAATTACAAAGTGCATATTTTATAAATAGCTATTATTGATGCTATTAAATTGTTTATTTAAGTTATTAGTATATTAATGTTACATCTAATATATAAATAAATTAAATATAATATAAATATTAAATAAATAATGGAAATTCTCCGAAATATGTGGAGTGAAATCGTTCACGTCTACTCTCCCCTGTGTCGACATCTCGCAAATGTTCGACAGGCTGAGGAGAAAGGGTCGGCCCGCGCCCCTCTCTGGGGGTGCCTGGCAAAAACATACAAGACAGTCCTAAACACGCAAAACTGTCCTTGAAACTCGTGCAAAAGGCCCGCCCGGGGCCCGCCAACAAAAGAGAAGCCCTGTTAGCTGCACCTCACTTTTCTCCAGTGAACTCTCCAAATTCTGTACACAAACATTATATGTACATTATTAACTTTTAAAAATATTAATCTTGAATATAGTATCAGAATTCTTCAACAACATTTTATCACTTTAATAAAATATTTTTCATTGAACTTTCTTCTTTGTCGAAATGACAATACATTAGGTTGTGCCACAGCGCCATGTTACGTTCAAGTATCCACCTAACTGGACTGTATTCTTCTTCTTCCTCTCTTCTTCTTCTTCTTCTTCTTCTTCTTCTTTCTTCTTTCTTCTTCTTTCTTCTTCTTTCTTCTTCTTCTTCTTCTTCCTTTCTTCCTTCTTCCTTTCTTCTTCTTCTTCCTTTCTTCTTCTTCTTCTTCCTTTCTTCTTCTTCTTCTTCTTCTTCTCCTTCCTTTCTTCTTCTCCCTTCTTCGTCCTCCTTCCTTTCTTCTTCTTTATCTTTCTTTTTTCTTTCTTCTTTCTTTCTTCTTCCTTTGTTCCTTCTTTCTTTCTTCTTCCTTTCTTTCTTCCTTCTTTCTTCTTTCTTTCTTCTTCCTTTCTTTCTTCCTTCTTCTTCCTTCTTTCGTTCTTCTTCCTTCTTTCTTTCTTCTTTCTTTCTTCTTCCTTTCTTCTTCCTTCTCTCTTCTTCTTTCTATCTTCTTCTTTCTCTCTTCTTCTTTCTTTCTTCTTCCTTCTCCCTTCTTCCTCCTTCTTTCTTCTTCCTGCTCTCTTCTTCCTCCTCCCTCCTCCTCCCTTCTCCACCCTCCTCCTCCCTCCTCCACCCTCCTCCTCTCTCTCCTTCTTCTTCTTCTTCCTTCTTTTTACAAACTTGTTCTGGGAACACCAAATGATTTTGCTGCAGAACTCACAGATGCCTCGTTATTTTGAACACATTTGATGGCATTTGTCATGGCTCCTGCTCCACACTCCTGCTTGGGCTTCTTTTGCATTGTAAGATCAGTTATATCAGGCCCCTGCAGGATTTACATATGTGCAAAATATTAAACTATGATTAAAAACAATGTGACAATAATCATTAGCAGAGTGGCCAATAACACAATACACACTGTACTGAGGATATAGTCATTGTCCACCTCCCTATGTAACCAAACATGTAAAGATAGGAACCTCGTTTTTAGCTGATATCATTGTCACTAAATACAATTTGTCTTTTCTGATTCATTGTGATTTACTTACCGCTGTAATCAACAAACAGCGCTGTTGGATATGTGTCTGAAGAAAATCTTAAGAAATCTTTATGTACAAAGAACACACACTGCTATGTTATCAAACATCCACCATAATGGCAACAGTTGCACACTTGCAGTCAAAGTAAATATTACCTAATAGTCAGGAAGCGTCTCTTTGTGCCATTTATCAGCAAATTATTAGAACACAATGTTAGAACAAGTAGTAATTCCAATTAGAGTCGTAGTGTCCAAGCAGAGGGTGGGGTGACTCACTGTACCCTATTTGAATTTTTCCTTTTTTGTAAATGATTCATCCCGTTTATTGAAGTAAATAAATAAATGACAAATATAGATAATTGCGAAGAGTTTCTGGAAAACTCTAACTTTTTCACTAAAAATTAAATTTCAACAATTTTATTGTTTCATTCCATTTCACTAAACTTGTTTAAATTTCACAATGAAAAACATAGGGCCCAACAGATTCAATACTTCCCCGACCTTGAATGGTACCCCTGAAAATTTAAATTAACTTGGCCCCTCCTCCATGGATTTCTTCGTTCCCCCTTTATCTAGTAGTGCAAACTACCTGTTAAAGGATAGAATCTTTCTGTTCCTTTCAAATTGACATATTAAACATAGTTAAATTATCATTAGGTTCATTATTATCATAGGTTGTACAAACCTCTATGATGCTTTATGATATTACGGTTTCTTTCAGAAGCAAGATTTAACAGAATTATCAGAAGAAAAGAAAAGAGTTGTTTCCAAGTACGTGTTAGAGGGACGTTTGAATGGATTAGAATTAAATAATGTTAATAAAGAAAAATTAAAGGCAGTTCTCAATAGAATAAATTACGAGAAAGGAAATTTTAGAGGTAAAGTGAAGGTAGGCAATCATATTCTCCACTTAATAAAAATTCACCTAAAAGGTTTGTTCAGTGAGATGAGCATTATCGTGTGTTTTAGGTTACTACTGACAACTTTAAACATACTATTATTGATCCTAATGTGATGCGAGATTTTCCAGAAAATCTTACTAAATCAATGGCTTATGACAGGTGAAGATATTGTATTCTTTCTAATATTTATTCATATAATCTTCAATTTCACGGGAATCGAAATACTGCTGGTGACTTAAAATTTCCATTGTTTATAAAAAATCAGATTTTTTAATGATTATGTTTTTATTTATTTAGCGGAAGAAGTGAAACATTGGTTTGTTTCATTATCTTTCACTAGTTTTGAATTTGAAAAAGATTTGTATTATTTCATTGCAATGATGATTCTAAATTTGTATACTAATCATGGCTCCTAATGACAATGGCACCAAATAAACTTAATTATTATTTTTATGTTACTTTATCTAATGAGCAACTTTGGATTCACGTACCTTTGAACGTTTCAGAATTTCATATGTTTTTTTGTTATGTAATATTTAAATATTGTATATTGATTTTATTTCTTTTGAATTTTCTCACTACTGCTACTTGTGAAAATTATTATGTATTTTTCATTTAGGTCCCAGTATAACCGAGGTCCTTGGACTGTAACTTTACAACCACACATTTACAGCCAGTTCATGGAATATTGTCCCTTGCGAGATTTGCGCTGGAATGTTTGGCAGGCACATGTGAGGCGATCTTCTAATGATGGTGAAAAATCTGTTGAAACAAGTACTCATATTGAGGAACTTCGATCACTGAGGTAACTGATTGTTAAAATGGGAACACTTTCCTTGTTGTGTGATATCCTACTATGCAGATATATTTGTGTGGCATAATTCGTATAAAGGGGGCTTCATGTTAATGGATCTGTGTGATAAGGGGGGTAGAATGGGAAAGCAGACAGAACTACTCCCTGAAACAAATTTCAATATTGAATTAGTTATAATCATTGCTTAAACTGTTTATATGAATAAGAAGATAGGGAGAGCAAAAAAGAGAAAAGAGGTAAGATGACAGAAAATATGGTATGTATCCCTCTGCGATGATTTTGGCATCTTACTAAGTTGTTCCAATCTCCATTTTGGCTTACTATCAGCAGTGGCTGTGCTGAGTTTTGATGAAGTTAATATTCTCACTTGCTCTTCACTGACTCTTCACTGAAGTGAGCCACGTAACCATGTGCTGCGGGTCTGGAAAGTTTCCACATAGCAATAGAATGTTCAGAATGTCCTTTTATAATTACATATTTGATTTTATAATTGTAGCTCATCACACTGTGTATTTTACTTTGGGTTATCTCTGCATCTACATTTCAATGGCATTGGCAAACATTGAGCCAATGGGGAACAAGTTACAACAGTTCCCTACTGACCTGCTTTGCTGATTAAATGTAGACTTCAACAGTACTTGACCAGGTGACCAAAGATAGGTGAGGGTTGCCATGTTCAATATCTTGAACTCAAGTAAAACATAAACACCCTGATAAATCAAAAACAATATTAAGGTTGAAATAATGTGACTTGTAATTTATAAATTATGATATGTAATGTAAATTTGGCTTCTGATAGGCTGTCCGGTAATCAGTATTTAAATAATTGATGTAAAGCTTTTTGATTAAGTTATCTTATCAGACATAAAAATCATTTAGGTAGTAGAGTAATTTAGTACCTTGTGCTCACTAGCTGTCAACCGTAGTGATAGATCTGGAGTATTAAAGGTTTAATTTGTTTCTTATCTAATATTAACCTCTCAAGGATGCTGCTCTATTATTCCGTGGTTACTTTTAATCATAGTATTCAACACTTGATGTCTCTTTTTAACATGGTGCTTCAAATCATGTTGTAAATAACTCTATCTTTTTGAACTTGATTAACGCATTCAAAGCAATCAGTAAGCTTAATGGCAACTAGGGTGCTGGAGCAGATTTTATACCAAATGTCTTTCCTCGGAATTGTGAAAACACACCATCCTACCCACTATGGCTACTTTTTTATTCATTGCTGTGCTCCAGGATTTTTCCTGAATTACGGGAATTGGGAAAGGTGATTCTAACCGACAAGAAGAATAACAATTCCGACATTTCCAACTAAGCCCAATCTCCATTCTCAGCTTATTTCCTAAGTTATTTAAGGAACTTGTGAGTCACTCTGAGGTGGAGTCAAGGCTGGATGAGGTGGAGTCAAGGCTTGACTCCCCATCCGATTATCAGCATAGCTTTGACCGTATATACCATTTCTTCTTCTACATTTTATTGCCAATTGCCCTTGATGACGGTGGTCAGGTAGACATGATCTATCATGGAAAAACTGACTAGGCCTGGCATTGGTGATCTGCTGATATCCTGGTTTCGTTCTTGCCTCTGGGGCAGGAAACAATTTATTTCCATGTATGGGTCTAGCTCTTTAAATGTTCTTCTGGTGTTTCTCACGAATCACATTTGTGGCTTGTGTTATTCAATGTTATTTCAATGACCGTCTATCCATTATTACTTACAATATTTGCTGATGACACTACAATCTACATCAGAATATGAGGTTTGGAGAATGCTTACAAACTGTAACTAGACTTTTCAGCTCTGATGGTCTGGTGCATAGCCGCAGAACGGAGCTGAACATTGACAAATGCTATGTTGTTAGTTTTACTTTAATCAATGAAGACGACAAAATACCTTGTTAATCTTGGGCTTACATTTGAGTCACAGCTTGGTTTCAATCTCCATATAAATGTGATTTGCAGCAAGGCAAGGAATATGCTTGGTTTCTTAATTTGCAGCACATCTAACTTTCACAAAATTCAGACTCACAAGTTGATATATTCTGCACTTGTGAAATTTATTTTGGAATATGCCACACTGGATCATTATTATAATGATTTGCTTGCTTCAATGAACCTACCAAGACAGGAGGTTATACTTTGATAGGGTCTTCCTTCAGGTTATAATTTATGTCTCAGTTCACTGCCCTGATGTTTTGTCTGAGTTATGCTTTTGCGACCCACATTGTAGAAAGAGAAACTAAACCCTTGTAAATGTTTTAAATAGACTAGCTTGAGAAGCCAATGATTTGAGTCAACTCCGTTGATTTTCTTGATCATAAGCTAGACTTCTTATTAATCTTAGAAGACTTTTATGTATTTAATTTGCAACTTACTTGCTTTGTTTATTCTTTAATTATTTTTTATTGTCGATTCACTTTGTTATATATTTCATTAATGGTTGAACAATGTTTTTCATTTATAGTAGAACCTTGCCAATCCAAGCCCTTAAAATCCAAAATTTCGGATAATCTGAACAAAATTTGAGGTGGAGGAAAAATGAACAAAATAAATGAAATGCTTATTTATTGTGTAAAGAAGGGATTTTATAAATACTGTAGAACTGAACAACTAATTATCGAAACACAAGTTGTTGAAATGAAACATTTATTGCACTCATAACTACAGGGTATATCACATGTTTATGCAGCTGTAATTTTCACCTAGAGGAATTTGCAAAATCGGTAATCTTATTTTGCTGTAAGAAACTGAATCTGTTTGATGATGTGATGTGATAGACTTTGTTACCAATTTCTCACATTGCTTGCAATGTTTCATTGTCTGGTAATCCTACCACCATACCATTGTCTGGTAATCCTACCACCATACCATTGTCTGGTATTTGTATATGTTCGGTACATTTTTTCGGATAATCCAAACATTTCCGTTTCCAAATACACAACACACTCAATTAGTTCAGATTATCAGGGTTCTAATGTACTTATATTCTTTTTATTGATATCTCTTTGTAATACCTTATTTTTCCTAATACTTTGTCTAATTTTGTATTGTGCATTATTTGTAATTTTTTATTTTTGTTGTGATACTTATTTTTTAAATCTAATTTCTTAGATATTCTTCCTGTCTAATTAATTGAATTAAAACAATTGGGTGTTCTAATATTTAGTTGAACAGCTTGTGATTCTTTTCTTGCAAAATTATATGTATTTTACTTGCGTGAGGCCCTCTGGTATTGTCTGTGAAATGTGAATGAGTCTATGTAGTATATATTCTTTCTTTGCTTTTTATATTGAATTTGAAGTGCTAGATGTTTAAACTCTGGTACTAAATGGTATTTCTTTATAATTTTCCATTCTGAAGAAAAAGGGCACAATACACACCTTTGAATACTGTCATTAACATTGTTTTTGTGACTAATTGAATATCAGTCTTTATATGATAAATATCACAACCAAATGAGGATCAAAATGAAATGGGGACCAAACTTTTTTGTCATTGACTTTTGGATGCTGTGTAGAAGATCACTTAGGTAAAGCAGAGAAAAGTGTTGAAAACTCTTGTTTTATAGTATATTTGGTATCAGTGTTGCACAATTGTGATTTTTGAAATTTATAGCACTCAAAATTTGTGTGTTTATGAGTCCTTTAAAATGTCGGTTATCAGTCATGATTTGATCATTGGGATTAACACAACAAGCAAAAAACTGTTGGATTGTACAGAGCCAAGAACAATGAAAATGTAGTATAAAACTGTGAAAAATGAGTAGTTGTGAAATTGTTGATGAAATATCTTGAATTATAATAGCCCGAGTATGGAGAGTAGAGGAATTTGTACAATTTTCCTTTTTCTTTCAAGGAGAGAGCAAGCCAAACTTCTAGGATTTGAAAGCTTTGCTCATATGTCAATGAAGACAAAAATGGCTGGCAATGTTGAAAATGTAACTGGTGTTTTGGAAAGACTGCGGAAGAAAGGTAAATATAAGTTTTTGTTCTTATAATGTCATTTTTACAGAATGTTTAAATAGATGAAAAACGAACTTGATTATTCATAAATCAGTATACACAAAAATTGCAAAAATAGCTTTTTAGGTATTTTGTCTTTTTTGTGTTTTTTTAACATGAATTACTCCATAATGTGTTGTTAAAATATTTGAAAATTCATTATTAATTTACTCTAATCAAGTTTCCATCTGACCTAGAATTCATGCCAGAATAAATTAAAATTTGTTAATTAATAAACTAGAATAAGTTACAATTATAGTATGACAATGTAGGAAATTATTTTAGAAAAATCATTGTCTACTGTAGGATGAAAAACATGGTTCATAGTTCAGCAGTAGGACTGAAAAGGATATTAATCTTCCAGGTGCACCTGCTTGTTCCATTTCTTCCTTGTCTTCCTGTATCTCTTTGCCTTTCTGATCCTTCCATTTCTTCTGATCCTTTTAAATTTCCTGTTAAATTTATTGTCTTGTTTTCATGTGTCTTCATTTTTCCATCGATTCAATATACTACATCCAAAGAAATTATAGAATCATATGTTCTTGTTTTCAGCATTACTTGCACAAGAAAAGGAAATAAGTGACCTTCAAAACTTTGCAGAAGTACGTGGGTTTGAAGGTACTTTGGAATTGTGGGATGTCCCCTATTGGAAGAGAAAACAATTAAGAACTTTGTACAGGTGATTTTTCTTGATGTGATTTTTTTCCTAGATGTAAATTAAAAATGTTTTATGAATTAATTTTAAGTTAAACCTACCAATAATGAAATTACAAGGGCTTGATTTTTTGTTTGGTCTATGTTTTCTCTTGTGATAAGGTTTACATAATACAAACTTAGATTTGGACAAAACCTGATTTTGTGTTACTGCTCTTCTATGATCTTGTATGATGTATATTGTGTTATCTTTTTTTCTCAAGTAATACCACACTTGATGACGCATACTTCTATAAACCAAGCCTTATCACAGGAATTGTTCTCATAAAATAAACTTGAATATAGCGACTGAAAAAAAACTATTGATATTTTGTTTGAAGAATTGATAATTCCCTGAGGTAGCTTCTTGCTTGAAGAGTATATTTTTCCTAATAAGATTGATTGCACAAAATATCTTGTTTCCCATATTTGTCAGGTTGTGTTAAAATAAGTATTTAAAAATACAATTTGCATTGCAAAACCACAGTATTTTTCTATTAAAGTCAAGTTTCTGTTTTTATCTGGTTCTTTTTTGGTTGAGTTTGAATATTTCATTTTCCTTAGTTTTTTAAAATACATATGAAAACTTAGGTAAAGAATTACATTAACAGAGGTGTCCGGTCATTGATAGATGCAATGATGACTAAAAGTCATAAAAATTATGCATTTTTCATATTTTAGAGAAGAATTCAGTATTAATAAAAATCTACAGATATTTTAGCTGTAATAGTAAAACTGAGCTGAGAAATTGTCATGTAATAACAAGAAGCTAGCAAAGGATTTGCCAAAATTAGCTCATTGAATTCAGAGCTCACTGCCACTCACATTTACTTGTTTGACCACATTCTGCCACATGACTGTCAAGATTCATTGATGAGCACTCAAGTCATTGCTGCTTCGTAGAATCTCAGCTGTACTTGGCACTGCATGGAGAAAAATGCCATTAGGATGTAGAATGAACTTAAGAGTGAAATGGTGCATAGTTATTGTTTGCATCTTGATTCTTGAGTTGTTTTGCTGAATTTATTAGGGTTTGTGTTGTTTTTTTATTTTTTTCCTCTTCAATTTTAAAAAAAATTGTTATTTTTTTGTCATGTACTCAAGAACTTGAAGATGTCACTGTTTAGCTGAAACAAAAACTATTTAGTTTTCTTACATCTTAAAAGAAGTGTTTTATTGATTGAGAGCTTTGCCAAGTGATCCTATAAAATAAATAATTTTTCTGAGAATTTGTTTGCTAACTTGCATAGATGTGTTTTTGAATCACTGGATTTGAAAAATTAAGTGATTATGTTTAATAGAATAGCAACATTTCAAGACAAATCTCCAAGAAAATTAGTGAACATTTTGAAAGAAGAAAATTTTTACTTTGTATTTAAAGAAATTTTCTATTTAGGTACATTAATATGCACAATATTAGCCCTAATAGAATCTACAGAAAGGAGTTTTTCTTCTTTAAAAATAATATAATTATAAAAGATATTACTTAAGAGAAGAGGAATGTGCAACTGAGAAAGAACTCTTGGAATTCATGGAAGAGAAAGATGATTTCTCATGGAATTCATGGGAGTAAAGAAATCATTAAAAATTTGCCTGTATAGTAGAATGGCACAAGTTTCTATATATTTAGTAATGTAGGATGTTTGAGGCTATTTATACATGTTTATTTTATAAATAATTTATCTGCATTTAAAAGATCAACAATATCTAGTTTCTTCAGGTGTGGCGGAGCCATTGTGAAGGGTTTCAATGTGTTGAAGAGGGATCCCAATCCTCATTAGCTGTTGCGTTACCACAAGATAATGAGTGTGTAATCCCAGATGTAGCACCTAAGCGTTGGGTACTACTTCTGATATTGTGACATTCAGCCTGTTTTTTAAACAGCCAGTAGCCGATATTTCAACTTGTGGAGGGTGTTCAGCTTGAGAGAGTTTGGATACAGTGCTTGTCTTGTCCTATGAGATAGAATCCTTTTGATGTGTGGAATCATGAAATGGCAGCAACTGCTTAGTTGATTGCGGGCTCATTTCGAACTTTTTGTGTGGTAATTTTTAATTTTTTTGTAAGCTTTCTTGCAGAACAGGCAATAATTATAAAGAATGATAAAGATACCAAACAAATTTTCAAATAATTATTTCCTTTTACATTCGTTATATTGAATTAATTTTAGTTTTACTGTCAAAACAAAGATTTCAAAATAAATTAAAAATTTCATATTACCTTAAGGGAACCCTAGAGACTTATTCGGAGGTAAATGTAAATATATGCATATACATATATAATAAATATAAATCCATATACAATAATATAGAAGAAAAAGTGTGGTTATGTGTATTTAAAAAAGGAAAATCCTACAAAATTGCAAACTAGGCCCCCTTTGATTTCAGAAAGATGCTGGACAAATCTAGTGATGATCACAAAAAAAGGCCATGCCTTGCTACTGAGTAATAACCATATGTGAAAACTGAATATAATTTACTTTTCACTATAAATTATAGAATGTAATTACATGTTCTTAATGCTGATGTATTGAAATGCTTCTTCTTTTATGTACAACAAATTTATTACTTCATTCTTTTACATTTACAGTTTTGATGAAGAGAAATTGAAAGAGTACTTCCCATTTCCAAAAGTGCTCAATGAGCTTTTTGCATTATGTAAACACCTGTTTAATATTGAAATAGTTCAAGAAAAGACAACTAATGTTTGGCATCCAGATGTTCAGTTCTACAACATCTTTGATTCTGATTCTAGAGAACCTATTGCAAGTTTCTTCTTAGATCCCTACATGAGGTAATGTGGTTACAGCTTACATACCAGTAGTTGTTTACAATGGCAAAGTCATTTGCAAGTTTGAGAATTGTCAAGGTGCCTTTGTAAGCATCCTTGGATTTTGAGATACATTTGAAGAATGAATTAATGGTTAAGTGGCTCACTATAACCTTGTTCCTCTGTCAGTTTTTGCTTGTTAATAATAGTTATTTTCTCGCATACTGCATACGTAGTGTGACGTCATGGATACTCACAGCGACCACAGACACAGAGCTTTCGTATAACAAATATATTTATTAACAAGAAAACAAAACAAATATATACACTTAATAATCACTTTAAACCCTAGCTCTGATAGACCTACTATCCCCTGATCGCGGGAGCGATCCAAAACCCGATTGAAGATGGTTTTGATTGTGGCATTCGCCACTCCTACTTTTGAAGCGCGCACAAAGCCTAGCTTCCGTGACCGGATGTCACGCTGGGACACAAAGTCCGTTCTGGCGCACCAACGGCTGGTTTGCCTCGATCGCAGGAGCGATCTTATCCGATTGAGAATCGGCGTGAATCGTGGCACTCAACCACTCTTCACCTCGGAGCACGCACACAGCATCGCTCCCCCGTGACCGCAGTCACCCAAGGACATAAAGTCCGCAGGCTTCGTCAACTAATGACTCCAGCCTCGCGAGCCTGGCTCGCATATGCACCGTCTTGGCGCAAAGTTTTGTGCACACGCACGAGGTTCTCCCACCGTCTCCAGAACCTGCCTACTGGCTCCGTACACGCTGTTATATAGGCGAGGCCCACGTGACCTCCTACGTCACGCCACCCCCTCGCTTGTTATAACAGTGAAAAGCGTCTATAAGCCGGAAGACACCCAAAGCCTTGTGTCTCCCGTCTCCGCGTTCTTCCCTTTACGGAAAAACCCTACTTCCTGTGGCGAGACTAATCCTGCCAAGCGTCCCCAAATAGATGCCACGAGGCACGCTGGCTAATACGTTACAGTAGTATAGAGAACATTGTTTGGCTCCCCAGTGAAAAATGCGATTCTTTGGCAGAAAACTTTGCATTGTAGATCCCTGATACCGCAAAAGTGAACAATTCTTGTTCCTATATGTAGTAAATAACTTTGTCTAACAAGTTTTGTGGTAAAATCAAAGTTCTTGTGAGTCCTTGATATTGAAAAATTGGTATAAGACAAAACATTTGCCTCTTTGTGAACAATTCTAGCAGCACCACAGTATTTTTGCTGATATTGATTTTCCCCAATTGATCTGACTGATGTGGTGGCTCCATGAAATTAATGTTTTAAGTTTTGGGACTACTTTATGTGAAGCTTCAAGAACATTTTGAAAATTTTCTCAAAAGTCACTCAAAATTTTTGATTAAACCTTATCCTTGGATAGTATAAATGACACTTAAAAAAATATACCCAGATCTCAGTTTCATTCAAACGTCTGAATTTTCTAAAATTGCTTACTTCATTTACAGAATTGAAGATGGAGATTCTTTTTTTCATAAAATTAGTTCTTAAAAAGATGACATAAATATTGTGTTCAAAATATGAATAGTTTTTGGTTAATTTTATGTTAAATAAAGGCAATTTTAAAAATAAAATTTTCTCAAAATTGGCTCAAACGTTTTCTTGAAACTATGGATAGTGAGTGCTACATGTAGTGAATGAGATGACATATACCCCATTTTGGTGTATTCTTTTGTTTTTACAAAAGTTACGCAAATGTACTTAAAAAAAAATCTCTTAATATTGTTACGTTTCTCAGTGGTGAATTAAAACACTCACGGGTAATATTTAAACAAAGAACGTTTATTTGTAATCAATTATACTCTATAAACTACTTGATCTATTTACAAATATTACACATTTCTTGTGCACTTTACTTCCTTTTTTCTTACACACGACTCCGTTCTCTTGATTATTTATTTACAGTTCGCTTCGTGTGCAGTATCACCCAGTCCGCTGCACTGTCCACGGTCCACTGCGCTGACCACAATACCCTTCGCAGACCACAATTCCTTATGCAGACCACATTTCACTGCGCACACCAGGGTCCACTGCTGTTTACCGTGATGCACACTTCACAGCTCAGTTTCCACTGCAGACTTCAAACTGCTGACTGCTGTTTCCCCATTGCACCACTGTTTACCACGATGCTCACTTCACAGCCCAGCTTCCACTGCAGACTTCAGACTGCTGTTCACCCATTGCAACACTGTTCACTGCAATGCACACTTTACAGCACAGCTTCCATTTTAGACTCACTGACGGACTGACTACTTATTCACTGATTACATATACTAACTGATCCGCGGCTGCTTACTTCCGACTACTACTTACACTGGCTTACACTGACTAACTACACTGACTGACTAATGACTGACCTACTTACTCTGACTAACTACACTAACTTACACTGACTCGCGGCCGCATACTTCCGACTACTTGACTGACTCGCGGTCGCCGGCAGCGGTGCATTTATACATGGCCGGCGCTCGTCTCGATACGCCCGGCACTTTCTCCACCTTTCCCCACGACTCGGGAATAGTCCAAAACCGTCCCGTTCGGGGAAGGGAAGGGGCGCCGGCAGATGACGCAATCCGCGCGTAGCGAATTCCGGCAGGTGATGCAATATTCGTTACAATATTTACATTACCAGGGATTTGTATACATTATTGTATTTGTGAGTACATATGCTGCAAATGATTTCTTATGAAGTTTCTCAAGGCCTGCCATTGTTTATTTTTACATTGCAATAATTTAATATACATTGTTGGATTTGTGAACACAGGTAATTCAAATTATTTATGATAAAGTTTCTTGAAAACTCTAAACTTTTGAAAAAATTGTGAAAATGAGATCAAAATTGGGCATTTTGTCGCTGTTAACACATTTTTCCGCCAACAACAATTGAGCTCGATTAATTTTCTGCCTTGTTGGGCTCTCCTTGGGGTATTGTGGACTGTAAAACAAATTTCTTGCTCAATAGTTATCAATAAGTAAAATATTCACTCCATACCCTTCCAAGGCCATATGGCCACTGAAGTAGGAGAAGCTCCTCGTTTGTGGTGCCAGTGTGGCCTGACGTGGCCAGGCAGACTTTGTGGCTTGGTGGGGTGGGGAGGGACCCCTCACTCCCTCTTTCCCCCCAGTCTCGTTCCTAAAGCCAGGGAGAGATCAGGTGTGTCGTCTCTCGTCTTGAAGCACTTGTTTTAACAAATTCAATAATGTGTACAAATTGCCATTGAAGTAAATATTGGAGATGCAGGGGAGATGTCAAAAAATTCTAATTGGGTAATTTTTGGAAAAAAACAACAAACAGAATAGAGCAAGATGGCGTCTATATTGTTGGTTACAGAACATACACTAACCCCACTAAAAGTGCAAAGATAAATTTGGAGTCATTTTTGAGAAATTCTTGTTTTTAAAATGTTTACTATTGCTCACATTTCAGACTATGTTGTGCAAAACTACCAACATTTTAAAAATTGTACATGACTTTAATGAAAGAACAAACTTAATTTGAAGAAAAAAAGTTTAGCTTCCATTTTTTAGTTGTAGGAAGAGACCAAATATTTTCGAAATTTTGCTTGTATCAAAAAGTTAGAGTTAACTGTTAAAAATCAGACATATGCTACCTTTATAAGTGTGTTTTACTCCATCCTTACAAGAAATATAAAGAAAAAATTAGGAGCTGATTTTGAGAACAATTTGAAAGTGTCTCAAGGGCTTCTTGTACCCCCAAAATCTACGAATGTTATTCAAAATCACAGATGTTTGATTGAGACCAGATCATTCAGGGAGTATTCAATTTGGAAAAAAATCTATATATAGTTTAGATCAGGGAAGTCCAACTTGCAAGGCATCAAGGGTCACAACTATAACCTTTAATATTGTTGCTGGCCATATTTACAGTACTTGGCCGATCTACACCTGACTTCCCCTTATTATTGTAGATTTCAGCAGTTTGCCTGGCTGCTCTGAAATAGGTGGGTGTGGGTGAGGAATTGAACCATGCTTGATATCAGGCCGTAATATGTATTACGCAGGAAAAAACATTGGGATGATTTTCAATTTCTGAATTTAATAGAAAAATTCTTAAATCCATTTTTTCCTTAAAGGGTGTTGTCCCCAACTGGGCACATGCTCTAGACGCAATGTTATCGCCTGACCCAAATGCAAGAAACCATCATTTTGCACTAATAACCATTCACAGGCTACAATAATTGAGGGTGACAGTGCAATAGTGGCCTATCCCACATTTTTAGGAAATTGCATTCTCTGTGTTAATCACATCTTCATCTCCCTAACTTCAACATGTAACAGTTTCAGCATGTTCACATCGATAGTTTTCAAGTTATAATTACAAAAAGAACTATTGCACTCAGCTTACGATTACATTTCTTTGTGCAATAGTGGCCTAAGCATAGGCGATGCTGTTTTACACAAGATGTAATCCACCACAAATGTTTAGTCAGTGGTCATTCTTACATAATATCATAATATGAAAACACTTACAAATGAGTGTTTAATTTTGCCAATAACTTCATCGGCCATTTTCTCCAAACACAGGATCTGGGGATAGGCCACTATTGCACTGACACCCTCTATTGGCACCACGGGCTGCCATTTGGACAACCCTAGTTTAGGCACTAGTATTGTTCACAAATGACAGAAAGACATTAAAACACACACATGCACACGCATGAAACAAAAACAATACTTTTTCAGTATTAGGGAACCCTTTGAATGTGTATTTCTGTTGAAATCTCCAAATTGATTTTCCACACCTTTACATAACTTTCTCTATACTACATGACACTGTTTATATGTACATTTAGGAGAAAGTAACAGTTGAAACCAGTTTTGAAAATGTATTGTCATCATATTTTTGTCACAGATTTGTGAAATTTCACTAAAACACTTGAACACAAATAATATTTTTTAAAAATTGAAAATAACATGAACTTAAAAAAAAAAAAGAAAAAAAAATTGAAGAGTAGATTCCATGACTTAAATTCAGATTAAATATTAATTAAAAAAGAAAACCCTTCCTTTAATAAAGCTTTGAGGAGAGGATTTAAAAAAATGTCAACTTTGAAATTTTCAAAAATGCATTTTATTTGAATAATGTGTCATCTTTGAGCCCAATATTATTAAGCACAAATTAATATTGTTTTGATATTGACTTCCTCTGTGCGGACTCGAAATGTAATTAACACCTTATCCATTCCTTCTGTAGGTCTGGAGAAAAGAAAGGTATGCAAGATGCTCCAGGATGGATGATAACATTACGAAATAAAAGTAAGATTTGTGATCACCAACCTTTGGCAACACTTCTTTTTAATTTCACACCACCTTCTGAAGGCCTGCCATGCTTGCTTACATTCAAAGATGTCCGACAACTGTTTTCTAAGGTGGATTTCATGTGCAACTACTGTTCAGATATCTTCGAAACCATCCTTTTTCTTTTTAATATTATTTATGTTATGTTTTGTTTAGTTTGGCAATGCTTTACAACATCTTCTGACCACTGCCACCTATTCAGATGTGTCTGGAATGTCCAACATTGAATGGGATGCAGTGGAGGTTTGCAGTAATTTTATGACTCACTGGTAGGTCATGTTTATCAATTGTTTTTTAAGGCATAAGAATATATTATTTCAATCATACTGTTAAAGTATTAAATTGTTTCCTGCTGTTGTAGAACTATTGCTTCTATGACAAATGTGTCATATAAGTGAACATATATACTAATTAGAATATGAATTGAAATAAATAGACACAGAAATACAAATAAACATTTAGTAAATATAAATTATCTACCAAATTGGGTTCGGCCACAGTGTCATATACCCCGCACCACACAAAAAAATTGGGATTTAGAGTTATATTTTATTAGCAGAATTCTTGTGGACTTTCTTGATGAAGGAATAAAGTCAAATCACCTTTCACAATATAGAAATAATACATTAAAATCATCAAATGTTCATCAAATATGTTTCAGAGTTTTCCCCCTTAGTAAGTAGTAATTTGAGTATAAAATTTGATTTTCTGACATGTGATTGTAAATGAAATGGAAAATATTTCTTGTAGCAATCCTCGCATATGTTGCTTTTGGGGAAGGTGGCCTTCATGACGCTGAGACTTTAATTAAATGTCACATGTCAGAAAGTAATTTTATACTCAAAACACTATCAAAATACTAACATATGATTGTATAACACATCATTGTATTCTAATCCAAACCCGGAAAACCGAAATTTCAAATAACCTGAACAAAACAGCAGCAATACAAACTGTACTTCCTCTTCTAAACAATGTAGCAACCACTACCGCATGTACATACTGAACTCCATTGCTCGCTCAAGACGCAACGCTATGTTTTCTCGCATTGCACACTATGTTGCATTGGGTCTGGTAATCCTCTAGATGTATTTTTATACGTAGTGTACATTTTTCTGGATAATCGGAACTAATTGGGTGTGTGGTCTGTTCAGATTCGGAAATGTTCTATTTTGAAAATCAAACATAAATTTCTTGAAAACTAATTATATTGTGAACAATATCTCTTACAGCATATTACTTGTGCCCACAATTCCACATTGTTGAGTGAAAACTGCATTTCAATGTCTTGAACTATTTAGATGTTATGGGGGGTGGCCCATAGTTTGTGGGACACCTGTATATAATTCTCTTAGATTGTGCGGTAAACCCAACAGTCGACCACCTACAGTTCTCTTACAGTTTCATAATAGTGTTAAACAAAAAAATAACATGCAACTTGTTTCTTTATTGTTGCAACAATGCTTATTGCATTCATTCAAATTTTTGAAAACTCACTACTAACCATGCTTGATTTCAAAACATGTTCTCTGCGATAAAGCTTAACATTATAAGGTAATTGCATAATATACTATTGTAATGGCGATAAATAAAGAGAGTAGAGATTGCACTGCTACAATAAATGAAACAATTTTTTCTACATTGTGGAGGTATATTGGTATCTATTTCTTTTTAGTTTATTTAATTAGTAATTAATTACTTGGCAAAACAACTTCAGCAAGGAATACTGAAATGTATAAAAATTTCTCAATAGAACGTTGTTTTTTTAATCTTTGTCTTCAAGGTTAACAATGATGTGCTAAAGTGAAAAAAAGAGACATATCCAAGTCTGAAAAATTCTTCATGATTAATAAAACATATAATTCTTCTAGATTTCTTTTTAAAATGTAATGGTGTTCAGATTATAAAGTTTATTTTATGCTTTATAATTTTGCAGGTTGTATCATGCAGAAACAGTACGTAGCCTCAGCAGCCATTATAAGACAGAAGAACCTTTACCAGAAGAATTGCTTGGCAGTCTTGAACAGTTGCCACGACTTTTAGCTGGTTATGAATTGTGTTGGCAATTGTACTATTCTGCTCTTGACTTAAAATTGCACACATCGTAAGTACACTCCAGCAGTGCTGTAGTTTTAGGTGTTTGTATGGAGTTTAGTGTGTAGTTAAATGTTAATTGATATACTTGGCAATAAACTCTTCTTAGTAAATGCTCATTGTGTCATTTGTCACATTTTAACTTTTGGTCCACATCTGTGAAAGTGGTTGTAAAAAAAGAATTTTCCAGTTTTATGTTTGTGGATAGGTTATTTGGTTATGTTTATAGTTATATTGTTGACTCTTTAAAATATTTTATTACCTACTATCAGCACTTCAACAAATGCAAATCTTTGCAATTTAGATTGTTTCTTTAGGTTTTCTACGATGAAAGTAGTGAAATTGTATGCCCATGTATTGAGGTTTTTGGTTCTTTTTTACTGCAGAAGACATATTGCTCACAATGTGTATTCACTTTAGGCCTTGGCAGGCTGTTCTTCAGATAATCCTGCCAATTTTCTTTTATTTTTATTTTTATTATTATTATTATTATTATTATTATTATTATTATTATTATTATTATTATTGTTATTATTATGATTATGATTATGATTATGATTACTCCTCTACTTCATGACTGAAGATGTTATAAGTTGGTTTAATATAAACTCTATTCCAGATTGCAACTAGCTTCTTAAGGAGTAGATCTAGGGACTGACAGTTCCTCTACTATACTATGTGCAAAATGTGAGCTGTTCCAAATGAAGCAATATCTTACACTTTCCAGTTTTTTCAATGACCTGGGAATTTAGCGAAGATTTTATACAAATTTTGCAAATCCCAGAGATCCAATAACTATCGGTATGGCATGTGCTTTTGCACCCTACATTCGGCTGATCTCTATTTCCAAACTCTTGTATTTAAGACGTTTCTCTGTCTCCTTGGTAATGATGTTTTGATCGCAAGGCACAGCTACATTTACAATTAGACACGACATTTTTTCTAAATTACTGAGAACAGTATCCAGTTCGTTTTCCGCTATTGTGCGATCAGTTTGATAATACAATATTGTTTACAATCCAACAGTCATCACCAGTTTTGGTGAGTGTTCGTACCGTTTGGAGCAAGGATTTAGAAATTCTAGGGCAGTGCAGATCTGCCAGTGGAGGTAACTACACACCCTATTTCGTCTTTTCACGTATTTGGTCTGCTAGAATTGGACAAGCTAAAACAATATGATCAGTGGTTTTCTATTTCTGGCAGATGTGATATCTATTGTCTTGGAAAATTTTGAGAAGCGCTTTATCATAATGTTGTGTTCTCAAAGCCTGATTTTGGCCAGCAATTAAACTGCTTCCAATTCTGGCTTTGATTTCCCCTTTTAATCCACGAAAATGCTTGACCTTAATTGATCCACACCTTGTCCATTCTTTTCAAATATTATCCCTGGACTGATTTTATCTCTCACGATTTCTTTAATATTTTTTGTGTCTCACATTTCATGTTAAGTAGCATCAGAAGTTCAGTGTCTGTGTTAATCTGCGTGTCTTACATAGTCTTCTTAGCAATGCTTCCCACTACAATGCCTTTGTTTCCCATTCTTTGGTCGGATCTAAGGACCTGCCTCCTTAGTGGGTCATCCTAATGGCTGACTACATACTTTCCCATCACGACAATTGCACAGAATTGCATCACGGCATTGCCAGAATGCTTCAATTTGTCTGAGGCCTGTTCCTCCTTCCTTACGTGAAATATAAAGTCTGTGTACATCAGCTTGAAGGTGGGCAACATGATGGGATTGTAATCAGTTTTCTGGTTTTTCGATCTTCGGTTCGAATTTCTTGCTCAGTCCAATCCACTAGTCGAAAACTGTGCTCAGCTAAAGGCAACACAAACTACCAATTGCAGATATTTATTCCTAGAGGTCAGAGCAGACTGCATGACAAGTCTCACTTTTCTGTAATACTCTCTGTGAATTCTCCTTTCATTGTGTCGTTCGAAAACCTCTTACATTTTTCAAAGCCCAGATATTTGTAAGTTTTACCTGGCTCAAGATCTTGAATCACAGTGTGTGAATTAGCATCAATGCTCTCTGATGTTGTCACTTTGCCTTTTTAAATTGACTTTTGTACATGTCAAGACCAAATTTCATGCAGATGTAATGCAGGCTAAAACCATTGATGACAGACAATATTTGGAAAAGAATTGCTTCATTCTTAACACTTTACATTCGTTCATGTAAAACAAAAAATAACAAATGTGATACTGGTCTTTTATCAGCCATGTAAGTAACCAACGTCTGTGTGAGACAACTGTCTTGTTAGTGGGGATCAAACTAATGCAAAGCAGCAGAAGGGATAGCGAAAAATTCATCTGATAATCTGAATATTTCTTGTTTTTACTACTTTCTTTCCGCTGTGTATTAGTCACCTGGCACTCTATGACTTTATACTGGCCTTGCAAAACCCAAGAAGTCGACGATGAAATTGAGAGATCTTAAAATCCAGTCCTGTGGTACACTGTCATAGGCCTTCTGGCAATCTAAGCCATGCTTGAATTAAGTTTTTGTTTCCTTACATCATTTAAGATGACTTTGTGTAGAGGCAAGATTTCCTTACAACCATAGGAACCTTTATGACATCCTTTCTGTTCACTGGGCAACAGATAGTTCTTCTCTAGGTATTTGTACATTTTGTTAGCTATGGCTGCAGTTCTAACTTTGTTCATAACTGGCAAACAAGCGACTGGTCTGCAGTTTGCTGCCAAAGAACTGTCCTTTATTTTGGGTTGCAGATACGCCATTCCATGATTTCCTTTGGGTTTTCTAAAATTTTATTAACTGCTAGATGACAATGTAATGCTGTGAATTTCTTAATCCAATAATTCTGGATCTTATCAATTCCAGAGGATTTCCAATTTCCCATGTTTTTGAATGCTTGGAAGAGATCCTCTTCTGAGAATTCGTCAACTGTTTCCACAAGCTCATTGGCAGCATCAACTTCCGACTGGAGCCAAGATGCGTCTTTGTTGTAGAATCTGTTTTCTTCCCAGATTCCTACCCAAAATTTTTTATCCTCACCTTTTGCAGGAGAGACAGCATTGCCCTTCGGTTTTTGAGTCAGATTGTCATAGAAACTCTTTGTGTCCATTTCAAACAACCGATTTTGTCCCTGCTGGTGGGAGAATTCCCTCACAAGCCGACATGATTCAGTGCAAGGTCTCTCCATCTAGAGGGAGGACAGTGACTTCCCTCCTATAATAAAAACACACACTACAACTTATGTTGGAGATTATGCTGGATTAATGAACACAGCAGTTAACCTGCTCAGAAACACAAAATAATAAATCAATCAATCAACCAACACTCGTGTCATGTATTATTGGAGAACAGACCACCACCACCACTGCCACTGCACTTCCAGATGGTTTGACACAAAAATTATTCATAACATCTAGTCCCATAAAGTCCAAGTTGTTCTTTTAACCTAATAAGGACGCATTGAAATACTAATAATATTTTTTCACTAATATTCAAATATTACTCTAGAAAGGACAAAAAATACATTTATTAATTTTTCAGACTACTAGTTAAGTACATGTTGCATGTATGCAACTTTGGGACAATAGGGTATATCAATTCATTTTGACATAGAACAACTGGAAACATTTTGAACGAAAATAAACATTGCATCATTTACATTTGTAAATTGTACTAACTTCACTTTCCGGCTTAGTTTTCCTCCTCTATACACATGCCCCGCAGCATGATTGATGGTTCCAGGGGCGCCAACTGTTAAGGTCATTAGTCTCGGAAGTGGAGTGCATGTTTTATTTAGGGAAGTGCCAGTGATCTCCCCCATTGGAAAGCAAGATCTAGCGCTGATCTATCAATCACCTTGCGGGCTTTTCCACAACCAGGTATCTTTCGCCAAGGGGACGCTGCCTCAGCTAGGACATGCTCTAAGCTCCTGACTGATTTTCTGACAAGTGTTGTAGTGTAGTAAGTAAGGGGTGGAGGTGGAGGTGTAGCATGTAAGTGTAGGTGTGTGTGTGTGTGTGTTGTAAGTAAGGGGTGAGGGTAGGTGGAGGAAGGAAAATTTCGTTTACGATCCATGGTGTTTGTTAGGGTACTGTCTGACATTCACCTGTTATTGATTGGAGAAACCATGGAAAACTACCAATCAGATCAGCCAGCCACTTAAACTCTCCTCCAGACAGTGGCTGAATTCCTCCTAGCTATGTAGTGTGTCGAAAACCCCCTCTACCATCGTGACTTGAACCCTAGAGCTTCCCGAGGCATTGCAGTGACATCAAGTGATGCCCTAAGCCAGTATTCCTACATCATCATAACATACTTCTTTAGGTAGAGAATCGTTTGTGAGTCAACCAAATTGGAATTTTTCAGTCTCCTGTGTATTCATTCACTCATTATTGCAGTCACTTTCCTTTGCACAGATTTCAGATTTCATTAGGGTAATTAAGGCTAAGTAAGAGTAATTCTAGTTGCGATATCTTTCTTCATTCATAATTTTATATATGTGATACTGACACATTGTTGCTATAGAATTTCTTATGTATTAATTTGTGAACTGTGTTTGTCAATACATATTAATATTGTTTACTGTGTGTTTAATCCTTTTCAATGCTTAGTAATCTACAGGCAATAATTGAACTTTCAATATGGCTGATGTAGTTGGCACATTAAAATAAATTTGGAAAGTCCATATTTTTTGTACTTATTTTATTCTTTTTAAAAAAGTTTTCTTCCAAAAATATCCAAATCCAATACACATTGTGGCAAAATGTACTATATCAAAACAAATTTTAATTAAAACTAGTGTTTTAAAATATGTACATTAAAAGTAAATGCAAGAAGAGAAATTTAATTGGACTGTGTCTAACTGGCAAAAAAAAAAAAGGTAAAATAAAGATAGTATCTTCAAGCAAACAAGCTTCTTAATTCTGGGTCTGCGTTCTTGAAATTATTTTAAAACTAACAATTTTAGAAATAATTCCCTATGTCAAATTCTAAATATTTCTGTAACATATTTCTTTAAATATTAAAATTATTGTATTTTCACACCATGTTCTTTGAACTTTCTATGGACAATGTGATTGTGTTCAACAGGAAAGACTTTTGGCTTGATATTGTTCGGGAACTGTGGCCACAATATTCCATGTTTCCCTTGGACAAAAGAGATGCTCATCCTTGTTCTTTTAGTGCAATATTCTCTGAAGAGTGGGCAGCAGCATATTATTGCCATTTATGGGCTCAAGTAATGGCTGCTGATGTATTCAGTGCTTTTCAAGAAGCTGGTTTGGAGAATACAAACGAGCTAGCAAGTGTTGGGAAAAGGTGAGGAATTAGTAGGAGAATAAATGTAGTACCAGGAAGGCTTAATAGTAATTATAAAACTAAAGAGTGATATATCTAAAGGGTGAAATCTTCTTGAATGAATAACTCTACAGTATTTTCTTGAGCATACATACATACATACAAATGTAAATTGGTATGGATGTATATTTTACATGCGTGCGCCTTTAATTTGTACATCTTTTTTTAACAAACGTTTTTAATTTATGCTGTACAGGTTGCGATCGACATTCTTATCTCTTGGAGGAAGCTGCCATCCAAGCGAAGTATTTCGTAGATTTAGAGGGAGAGATCCATCTCCTAATGCCCTTTTGTGGTCTTTGGGGTTGAAGAAACAAACAACTGGAACACCAGTGGAATCAGTAGCTTGAAAATATTTACCTGTTCTGTATTGTAAGAATCTTGCAAGCATATAATAAAGGCGTGTTTTTTTTAAAATTTTGTTGTATTTTACTTTCACTACCCTCTTAGTCAAGGTTTTAGAAAACTACTTCGCTCATGTCTCTACCCAAAATTCGTTTTTCATCCTTGAACAATATAAACCATACAAAAAAATGTATTAAAGATGTGAATTTTTTTTTCTAACTTCTCCCACTTTGGTTAGGAGGCTAGGTTTGATAGGATAGGATTAAGGGCCCCTTCCCGCGGCGCGTAGCAGAGCATTGGTCTGAATGGAGGCCTTCCCACGTGCAGCGGGTGGCGGCTGCTGCGGCAGCCGACGCCGAACTCCAGCCACGCCAAGCGGAGGAGGGGCCACGCGCCACCTCTAGCAGAACACAGCTTTAAATGGGAGCCTTCCCATTGCGCCGCTGCCGCAGCATTCTACCTGCTCCGGTCCCTTAGTTCGTCGTCGCCGGAGGGTCGGCGAAACCTACCCCTCCAGACCCCACCCCCTTCCACGGCGGTCGGCGGTGCGGCCGTGGCTGCGTCGGAAGGGCTATGCTACTTGAAGGAAGCACGCCGCGGTCGCGCCGTGGGAAGGCGCCCTAAGGAGGCATTGTTTCCATGTTACGATGTGGTGTGTCATAAAAAGTCTTGTATTTCCCTAATATCAAAATCGGTTTGCTTCTAATTTTTGTTGTTGTTGTAAATCTTTTTGGTGCAGGACTGGGGTGTAATTTCTATAGGAGCATCAGCTTAGTGATCTGTGTTGATGGCATCTTGATAAATGGTACTAAACCACATTTCCTTAATCTATAATATTCTCTGTGCCAATAACATGAAATTGTCGAGTTTTGTGGCACCACTAGTTGGAATGTTTTTCATTATTTACAAGTTAATTATTTCCAATCATAATAATTAAACAAAAATACTATTATTAGTAATGTGTACATTATTAGTAAATCTTCCTAGTAAAATCAGCTTCTTTTGTAACCATATATTTACGTGAAAATTAGTAAGATACTGATATAAATATGAATTCATAAAAAGTTTTGGGTTGATCAATAAAAGTTTTTATATGAAGTTTCTCTTTATTAAAACAATCATAAAATAGACCATACATATATTCTTTGACCTGAGCAAAGAGTCTCCAAAATTGCATGTGTGATATTTTGTTAGAAAACAACATCACACATGGGGACTACTGGAAATTAAAAATTAAAATTACAATATAAAAATCATGTCTGCAAAATCAAATCTCCATTGAAGTTCAGGAGACAATAACAATTGAGGCATCCACTGCAAGAGGAAGCTAACCCACAAAATTAAAAAATTTAAGTTTTTGACATTTCCAATATTAATTTTTCATCTTTTATTTATTCTTAACATTGCACATATGTATTATAATCCTTTCTGATATTTATATTGATCTCTAAAAGGTTGTAACACACCTATTTCATTCGATTTCTTTGAGAGAAAGAGCTAGGTCACATCCTCATATTGTGTCATCGATAATACCAACTAAAACATCAGTCGTATTAATACATCACATCACACAAGTGAATTGGAAGAGGGATGGTGTGAAAGAATATGTTAGTGGCAAAGCAGGAAAAACAGTACCAGAGAATGAACAAGTCCTAGCTTGCTTGCTAAAAGAGCTTTACATCCCGATTTAACTAACTTCAAACGTGAACACCATACTCTAATGGTTCATGAAAACTTGCAATTTGTTGTTGTTTTATTTTGCCAACTCCAGAACTTTATCATTCAAAATGCATATTTCAGTGGTCTCAATGTAAGAAAAAAATGCAATCAAACTTACTGTTGTAATCACAAAAGTAATCAGTCGATAGTTTGATGAAACATCCTTACCTTAAGATGGTATATCATTTGTATAATACTTGTGGAAATCTTAAATCATATTTTTAATTAAATAAGTTTTTTATCTTCAAGATAAGGAAACATTTCCCATTTATTATACAAATAATTGATAAAACAAACCAAACTCAAATAAACTCGGTAACATATCCTTGTGGATTAGGGCCCTCATTGGATGCCTCAATTCTTTGAATATTACATCCACTAATACATACTATAAGCCTTTAGGAAACACCATCTTATTGAAAATAACACACACTGTAACGCTTCAAATTTTATACCAAAACTGGCGTTCAGAAATCCAAAACTAACTCCAAAATCTACATTTGAACTAAGGAGGCAGTCTTCTTGGGCCTCATCATCAGGCCAGTGAAACTTTTAATATCTTATCACCTAAGAGGAGTATTCAATGATTTATGAATAATTTTCTAGACATAAAATTGAAAATAGTTACTTTATATTCTGTATTTAAAATAATGTTCATTTTTATTTTTCTCCAGAATCATACCCAAACTGCAAACATTTTATATAATTGTATAGTGCGCAAGTAGGGGAAAAGAACACAAAATTAGTATTGCAATTTACAAATCAAATTATTATTTATCTACAATATAACAAATATGAGAACTAAACCCTAAAAATTTAATTTCTGTTACATTGTTGATACTGTAACACACTTCTTGAAACAATTTATTACTAACCAAACCAGTGACTTCCCATGCAGTCTCGAGTCCATTCAGTCTGACACACCCAACACCAATGGAAACCACATTGTGGTCGAGTGCACACCATATGCATGCATCCACCATCACGTTCTGTTGGTGTGCGGCATTTGGGACAAGGTTTAGTGGACACTTTAATCGTTACTTTGCTGGCATCATCCCATCGCGCCTAAAATATATTATCAATCTCTATTACTATGCTAGCAGGAATAGTACTAGTAAAGACTGAATATATTTTACAAGTTAAAAGGTACCTTATCAGCTCGGTTTGGATCAACAGAATACAGGCAATCTCCTTTGAGTTCTGATGTTCCGTCTCCATCCAGCACACAATCTCCTATGTGGTAGCCTTGCAAACATTGACGGCAAAAGACGAACTGAAATAAATTAATGTGCATAAAAATACTATTTTTTGGACTTGGCACTTAGTTCCTTATACTACTGTGACCAAAGCAAAGTATTGTAAAGCTAAAACAAATATTTTTCCAATTTTCACCAGCTGGAGGTCACTTCATCACCTCTATGAACTTTTCATTCTTTTTACACTATTAAGAGAGGGTGTGAGCCACAACTGGCTACCTCACAAATTATATTTATAATCATTTTAAAAAGTTGATGTATGAATATCAAATTCATGTCGTTTATATAAATAATATTGCTATTCAGTAAAAGTGATTACAAAAAGACCAAAACTAGTTAGTGAAACATTTTTGTAAAGCCACTTTTTTATATCTACATAAAAATACTACTTTTCTCATTTCAAGGTCATCAGCTGTTTAAAAAGGTACTAGATATTTACCCCACAACCATTTATGCAGGTGATGCGTTTGCAATCTGGATCTGCTAAGATTCCCATTCCACAGCCAGGTTGAGGGCACAATACTCCTCCAGCTTGTAGAACGTATTCCTCAGCACCAAATCTTTGGTACTGAGCATACTATTAGAGGGGAAAAAAGATTAGTTACCTTCTGAATCTTAAATGCAATTGGTAAAACTATAATTAATTGATTTGCTGAGAAAAACACTCCCATAAATTATATTATATATATTAGTCATAGCGAGGTTATCAAATGCACTGGTGGAGGTCTAAATTGAGCCCACGTGGTTGCTAAATTAAAGGAGTCGATAAGTCATTTTGCCTTGCAAAAGGTGAGGTAGAAGATTTTATTCTTTCATATAAACGCCCAAATTTATGGGGACTTTTTGGCTACCAAAACTTGTTTTGCCATATTTTGATGTGGAAAACTTACAAGTTTATTACTAATAACAATATAAATAAAATAAAATCTTCTCCCTCACCTTTTGCATGATTCCCCATCAACTGCACTAAATGTAAAATCAGGATTACAGGTATGCTTTACATTATATATTACATTTAACCAGCAAAGAAATCACTCTTTGTTTTAGTATGCCAACGTGTTGCACAATAGGTGTCATAAAAGTAGCCCAGCTTATTACAAATACATAGACAAAGCAGGAGATGCTCACAGAATACCCTCTCTTTCTCAACCATTGGCCCTCCAGTATATTCTTTGTTATTGTTCTTGTCATTTCTTGAAATAATACCCCCTGCATTTAATTGCAACAATTATAAAGAATAATATAATTAAATATTTTATTAATGAATAATTTTTTAGCATGAGATACCTTCAGAATATATTTGAAAAGGAACCTTATCTTTATTGCATTGACAAGAGTCCTCATTTCGGATCCTTAACTTTGAGCGCCCCAGTGCAGTGCACTGGTTGCACTAGCCTAGTATGCTCCTAGTTATAATACGCCTATTATATTATAATCATCAGTCCCTTTAAAAGGTGGCTGATATCAGTAGAAGAACATTGAAGAGTACCTGCTGTGGTGTCAACAGTCTAAAATGATGTACTTCTATAATAAAAGAATTCTCACAACCAGCTGGACATGCAAGAGTGTAACCATATTCAGGATGAGACCAAAATTGTCTCTCCTGAAGCCGTGATGAGCAATATGTGCGAAAACAATCCAAACAAGTCACGTGCCGAGCATCACAGGGAAAAACAAGTACTGGGTCACTGGAAATTAAATCAGTATTTTATTTTCATTGTACTTTGTGATATGCAAAGGTATTCCAAAGTATTAATTAGTAACTAATTAATTGAGGAATAACAAGCAACCAATTTAATTTCCTGATGCCAAACAATTTAAAAAACTTTTAAATTAAATAACATTTCCTATTTTACAATATTTGCAAGGATTGTGATATAACTACACCAAGAATTTTGTTAAGTGTTCAAATTCTACTCTCGTTAGAAAAATTAAACTTACCTAACATCTGTACAAGCTAAACAAGGTACTTCATAGATATTTGATCTTATCAAAGACAGTGGTACAGCGGAGTCATTTTCTCCTTGAGATGGATGATCGGCACATTTGAAATAAAATTGAGCAAAGGTAAGTCCATCACTATTACCAACCTAGAAAGTAACCAAGATTATTCATAAGCTGAATAAAGAAGCACAAATAAAGCTTATATTACTTCTTTTTTTTTTTTTTTTTTTGACTTGACACATATTACACTAAAAAAAATTAGTAAACCCTATCAGCTGAAAGAAAATGTTTGATAATTCTGATTTTGAAGGATTCTTTATTTTCCTTATAAATTAGTATTGCGTATTATTTTCTTGAAGATTTTATATAAATTATTATTAACATCGTATGCTACAAGGATTACATCTTACACATGTTTCATTCTCACAAACTCCTGAAATTTGTTTCTCTTTCAATACATCATCCCAATTCTGTGGATCTCGATCAACAATAAACGCTCCACTTCCACAAGAAAGACACCGCACCCGTAACTTTCCAGTTTGCATGTTTTTGCATGGAGAAGAACAATATACAAAAAAATGAGCCTTAATTCTTTTCAACTCTGAAAAGAGAAAAAATGTAAAAGTGTAAACAGTATATTTTTACAATTAAAAATGATATAATGTTGACAAGATTTAAGCTTGACACTTGGAATCACCTTCTTCGTTATGTAAATCATCACGCTCTGGTCCAGTTATCTGCAAATCTGTAAGGGTTTCACATAATGGTTTTGACGCTTCACTTGGATGTTCTTCATGAACATTCACTTTTTTTGGGGTGACATGTGCTCGTACAGCATGAAGTATACTCTGCTGCCCTAAATCACAGTCCTAAAAATAATTAAAATGCCGGAGTAAACAATATATTTCGAAATAACACAAATTAAATCATTTGTATACCTCAATGACAATGGAATCATCAAGTTCTTTGCCAGCAAAAATTATTTTGACTTCTTCTGGGGTCAAGCCTAATTTGGGAGCAACTATTTCTTTCACATTTTTTATATCCCACTTTGGATCAAGATCAACAGATATTGTATTCCCTGTATTTGTTTTCACATAAATGCTAAGACTATTTGCAATAGTTTTTTTACCAAATGACAACAATTGCAACATGCTTTGTATAATACTTCTGATAAGATCGACAATAAAACTCATAGTGGTAATTTTTTTTCGCAACTTTCGGTTTCTGGAAAGAAATTCGCACGTTAATGAGAATAATGAAAGGGAATTTATTTATCACGCAGTCACCAGTATTTTAAAAAAAATTTCATATCACTATCGTGAAATGGTTCAAAACTCCCGTCCTATCATGAGTTTTTGACATTTGTGTCCCACAGTTTTTGAAGTCATTTACTGCTCGAAGCTACCAGCAGGTTTTATGACTCTTTATGGCCAGTTCCTTTAACGAGTCGTTAATAACATTGCCCTTGACAGCCGTTGATTAACAAGTATATTTTCTTTTTTTTTTACAATTCGGTCACACAGTGGCCGCAGCGGCTTCATCGAACGTCACTGATTACCATCGTTCATCGAACATCACATTACCAGCTGATCATTGGATATATTCTATTCAATATTCACTGGATGTAAAAAATATATATATATACATTCGGTGGCCTAATGCATACACTCCAATGTGCACTTAGTGGCACTGGAAGGCCAGATATATTGACATGTAATTGGAAGCTCTAAATAAATCAAAAATTTAAGTCGTAACGAAGCTTCCGATAAGAGGAATGTGTCCCACTCTCCGTCCAGCTCCAGACGTTTAAGTGCCTCTACAACTAAATTCTGCCCCTGGCAGGTATCAGCTGAGAACGGTTTCATCCAATCGCGAGCTTGAACGTCACATGAGACTGTCAACAGCTGGTACCTGCCAGGGGCAAAGTTGACAAAATTGCAATATAGGTATACTGCTGGTTTTATTCTTTGCTGCTGCCCAACGGGTCGTGTCGTGAGCGGCAGTGAGCGGGCGTATGGGTCGTGAGGGTTGGTTGGTGAAGCGGGGTGAAGGGAAGAGGGGAGGTAACTGGTTGTCAGTGATGAGCTGATGTCCGCGGTGTTATTCGGAGTGGAATTTCCGATAAAATGGATAGTAGCCAGGATCATAGAGCTCAACACCATGAATTATTTTTGCAAGAAATTGAAGGCATTGATGATTACTGGGGACCAACATTCAGGTAATGGCTATACTGTATAATATTTGTTAAGGGGTGTGTCTGCGAATTGTAAATCCGCGGGGTTGGAGCTGCGCAGGTGCACCCCAATTCGATTAAGGATTTTGGTGCTTGTGGGGGTTGAGCGATTTTCAACTGAAAGGACTCCAGATTTTGCTTTCGTTTGTGAAATTAACTGTCGTAATGGAGGTTAGGTGAAATTTGGGTAGTTGAGACTTGAAACAATTTCCAGCCCTGGAATTAAATAAAGATGGAAAATTCAGAATCAAGGATGTCTGTGAATGGGGTTGGCACCCAACCTAAGCATGAACACTTGTTGTATGAATTGGAAACAACAGATACAAGCAGTGTGGGATTAGTAATAAGGTATAAGTTGAAAAGCTTACTTATTTGGTTTGTAGATTGTTTTTGTCTCCATTATTTGAAAAGTTGCAAGATTATTTATTGGAAAATGTTTGTATTTGCAAGATTTGTTCAATTATTCAGTTTTGTTTTCTCCACATTAATTGTCATTGTATTGCATATCATTCTTAATTTTTGGTATCCCCTAGAAAGCCTAACACTCCTCAGAACCATTTCTATACATCTTCATCCTTATTGCCTGAAGTTTTTATGCCTGAATTTCATCTTTACTTAAAAATGTATTAATTTATGCCTAGTGAAATGTTCTAGCACCTCAACAAATTGCTTGATATGTCAGGAGACCTAGAAGTGGGGTCTAAAAGTTTGACCTAGGAATAATAAATCATTCATTTTACTCAAAAGTTCCTACCCAAAAAATAATTGAGAAAAAAATCAAATTTAACCACTCTATCCGTATTGATATGACACATCCTATACTTTTTAAAAAAGCATTATTGGAGGTGATTTTTACTGTTTCTTGTAAACAAATTTTGTAATGCCTGGTGTAAGGTGTTCAATGGTTCTTTAAGGAGAGCGACAGTGATTGGAAGAGGATTCCAAAAGGTGCCATTACCCACCAACACCCACAGACACTTAAGGACATTTAGGATTTCTTTCTCTACCATTACAATGAAACCATTTTTGAAATAAAAATAAAGATACTCAATTTTTGAGTAATTATTTCTTGAAAATAGTTTCCTAGAGTGTTTTATTTTATTTTTTATTCAACCTGTGGTAGGGTGGGTGGGGAAACAGATTTCTTTATCAGAACTATTGCATTAAAGAGAATGTCATGTTATGTTTATAACTTTAGACAAATATCTTATTAGTCAGTTGTTTGATGAATCTTGTTTGGCTACTGAAGATCAGTACATAACATATTTAATTTAACAATGGTGACCTTGTCCTGCAAATGGCAGCATGTACATTGTTGCACATGACCAATAAAAATGAGTATTTTCATTAAATAAAGAGACAAATTCAGGTTGTTAACTCTTAGAAGATTTATTTTATGGTAGTCACAATCTGCTTAAGACCCCTTTTATAACATAGATGTACTCTTGAGCATGTGTATTTTGGATGAAGATTGTAAATTCTAACATAGAACACTTTTTAAAAATAATCTTAACATTCATCAATTAATTCTATGGGTCTGACATATTGGGAGTTACAATATTCTAATATTGTAAAAAAAAATTTTTTTGTGAATTAGAGTAGGTAGTTGTTTTATTTTCTTGTAGTTCTTAGTGTGACTGAACAAAAATATATTAGCAAATGGAAATTCAATTAAGTTTTAATATAAAACTTACTAAATAATTGAAAGCAAATTTAAATTTGGGGCATTTAGACTAAAGTAAACAGGGAAGTTATTAGTCAGAAAACTAATTAATTTAAGATATTTCCCAATTCCTTGGTTTTGAAGTTACATGTAGAAACAATTATTTTCACCAATAATTGTTTTTGTTTTGAGAAATTTTTGTGTTTTAAATAGTGTATCATTTCAATTTTGTGATTTATTATGTAATAAACATACAAAATAAGATTGCTTTTTTTCGTGATTACCTAATTTAAATTTCTTTTTTATGCTAATTTTCTCTTTCACTTAGGTGCAAAAACAAAAGTTAGTAGATAACTAATGTTAAAAATAAATATTGTATGAATGTGTGTTAACGAAATATTTTATTGAACAATAAATAAATAAAAAACACCTGAAAAAAAGTGGTATGATTAACCCTAAAGATCTCTACAATATACAAGGTTTTTAAACATTTTTTTTAAATTCTAAAAATCAATCAAAAACTAAAAATTTTTAATCGTGATATTATGGGGTGTTTCATTAAATGGAAAAAATATGAATTACTATGTTTTACAATTCCAATGAACATGTGTAATTTTACTTCATAGCAATGTCTATTTTCTCTATTGTTTAGTGTATTTACGTTCACATGACAAATTCAGAAATTGAGGCAAAAAATAAAAAAATTGCTTTATATTGTTGCCCTTAATCTTCCCAAATATTTCATCTAATGTGCAGAATGTATTCAGAAACCCCTAAATGTATGCAAAATGGAATATAATATGAAAACTGTTGATTTACTTATTCATAAAGAAATTGTATTTTTGTCTAACCTACAACTAGCACAATAAATAAGCATTTACGTAGAAATTTAGGTTCAAGCAGTCAGCTACTCTAAATAAAACGAGTCCGTGTTAGATTGTTTGTGAGATTGGGTATATGTATTTTGCACTCCTTGACTTAGTTAACCTTGTTTTTATTAATATGTAAGAATGATTTAAAAAAAGTGCAGATTAACAATAAAAGAAGCAACATTGACATGTTTTCTTGGTAAGATTCTAAGAATAGGTTAATTAAGCATAACAAGCTTTAATTATATTGTTAAAATAATTTTTGAAAAATCCTATAAATATTTAATGTGCTAGATAAAAGTAAAATAAAAGGAATAATTATTTATTTCTAATATAAAAAATATGAAAATATGAGTGTATAGTGAGGGGGGGAGTGTAGTTGTTCAAAAAATGTTCAGACATACATTGTGACTTTAGATCCCATAGGCTGTTGAACTCGGTGATGGCCTCAAAAAACTACATATATTCGAAAAAACAGAATAGTGAACCTGGTAAACGCGACATTGCTCAGATATAATTTTTTTTTTTTTTTTGTTGGATCTAGATATTATATTTTGATTATATACTTGTATAATTTTTGCTCAACAATGGTGTATTATAATTCAGTTAAGTGTCATAACCTTTATTTTAATTATATGCATCGATCATTTTTTGTTCAATAATGATTATTGTAAAATTATAAATTGATTTATGCATTGTTTCTTATTTGTATCATGCTGATTGGCGCAAATAAATAAAATTAAAAAAAAACTGAATTTCTCCTTGAATTTATCAAGTTCGGCAAGATAAAAAAATTGCTGTTGAATGTGCCGGCAGCAAAATTTATCAAGTTTTAGGAGCTCTAGCTACATGTAAAAATGTGAATTTTAATGATCTACATAAAAACATAAATCCATGAAAAACATGAATTTTAATATAAATTAACAATTATATGTTCTGTAAAATATGAGATCATCCAGTTTTTCTGTGTACTGTCCCATTGTCCAGAAAATCTTTCCTAATTTTGCTTCAAAAAATATAACAGATTGCTACTGAAGAAGAAGAAGAAGAAAAGGCTGAAAATCTCAATATTTTTCAAAAACCACTTCACTTAATTTGCGTAACATTTTTTGATGAACTCTGCCCTTTAGAACCTTAGCCCTTAGTTTTACAGCAGTATCCTAATAGAGAACAAAATTTCTATTAAAATATTATAGAAAGTTAAATTTCTTTCAAAATTAGTTTTTCTTTGCCATTTTATCTTTAAATAGTTAAAGTTACTGAATTTGAAATGTATTTTTCCTTTTTCTTTTTTTTTAATATTTTATTTTTATTTTCCTTCCTTTTTCCTCCATGCCTGGATCTCAAAAGCAACATTTTGGTCACACAACAGCGCTTTTTAGTTAAAGTTAGATCCTAAAAGCATGACTCCTGTCGACCAGTGATATAATAAAAATACAAAATAAAAGAGAACCTCCAATAACTGGACATAGGTTTTTTGATTTGTCACAATCTATTTAGGAGAAAACTCATGTGCTCTGTATTTTTTTAAAAACAATATGTAAACTCTATTCATGACATACCTGGGAATTGTTCATAGTATTTTAAATTTTCATGCTGTTAGTCTTCTTGTAGTTACTCATATTAATGTGCATACACAGTACATTTAATTCTCAGTAAACAGAAGTATAGATATAGCAGACGCTGCATGGCAGATAATTGGAGCAGGAAGAATATGGTGATAGGACTTTTATGATACCACATTTCCGTGGGCCTAAGGATAAAACTTACAGCAGTCTTTGTTTTTGTAGTCAAATTATATACAGATGTAACTATGTCTAATTTTCAGTCTGATGACTTTTCATTACAAGAGTCTAGTTTTGTTAGAAATTTTCAAAAATATCCATTTGAACTTGAACTCTTGTAAGAATTATTGTTGTTGTTTTTTGTTTTTACTAATTACAAATTATGTAATTATCTTTCTTTCAGAGCCATTTATGATGGAGATGAACATCAGAAATTTATGGAAAGGCTGGATGCTCGAATCAAGAGCCATGACAAAGATATTGAACGGATGTGTAACTTCCATTATCAGGGATTTATTGACTCTATTAGAGAACTACTTCAAGTGAGATCTCAGGCAAAGAGGCTCAATGTATGTTACTGATTCTAAATATATTTATTTCTTCATTTTGAATGCCTTAAGCTGTATATAAAGATTGAATGCATTGCGTTATTGATTGCATACATGTGTTTTATGTGGCTTTTTTGTTTTTTCAGAGTGAAGTGGTTCAATTAGATGAAGACTTGCAAGAATCAGTGTCAAGTGTTTTATTAAAAGGGGAAGAATTGGTTCAAGCACGTAAAGTAGAGAGTAACATAGCTTCTGCTATTGAGAACTTGTCTCTCTGTCTGCCGGTACTAACAACATACGCCAAGTTACAAAGACAAATGAAAGAGAAAAGGTAAAGCATAATTACGTATTTTTGAACTAAGATAATGTTAAGAGTTAAATTTACTTACCAAAGCTGATCAACATGCATCTAAAATTGCTAGGGATTAACCATAAACAATTATGAAACAAAGCAAACTCCCATATTAATAGATCATATAGAACAATATCTTAAATACTAAATTTTATGTCCCCCCCCCCCTTTTTTTCCTCTCCCTCTCTTCAAAATTTTGTTTCTTATCAGTATGAGGTTTTCAAATAGTGGTCTGGTGTTCTAGGAGACAACAAAGTAATTTTTGGGAGATCCTGAAGGGGCCAACAGATAAAATTTTGGGCTACTTTTAATTGATGCAGCTGGGTTCCTTCTTCCAAGGAGGAATCCAATTTAGTTCCTTTGATATTTGTTGCTCATTAGGCCCACTGTGTGTTTTATTGATATGTTTGATTAAAAGTATGCTAATGCAGTTCATTTAAAATAAAAGGAGTGATTGGAATTTTATGTCTTGAGACAGTGCACAAAATCAAGAGAGCGACCATACAAAATCAGTTTAAGCAAGCCAATTTTGTTGTTGCTATATTCTGCAAATTGAGTATGACTTCCAATAACTCACTTACTCAAACTGCAAGTACAATTGCTCACCATTAAAACCACGTAATTTTATCCACATAGAGATCCAATAGTACAACATTTCATATTTTGTGGACTATTTATATCTGTAAATTGGGAATAGAAGTAATAATAAATTGTAATACTAATGATGTTGTAAAGGTTCTTAACTAATATTTTGAAATCTTTCTACAATATAAAGTAATCTGAAATGATGTAAAGAAATAAATACGTAATATAAGCTAGTCTTTGTTTGACCACCACAAGGAGTTTGGCAGTGTTTGACATGATTGGATTTTGAAAGCCTTGGAGATCTGTTGATTTTCCTAGACTTATTAAGTTTTGCAAGGTTCCTATGAAGTCATGAAGTACCATGTTCCTAATACACAGTTGAATGTAAGTAGTAGATACAAGAAGCACAAATATTGAGTCCAACAGCAGAATTTTTAAAGGAGATTCATCCTCTCTGCTGTTTTGCATTAATTTGATTCCACTATCTAGACAGTTGTCACCCATGGACCTTGGTTACAAGCTCCATGGAGATAGATCAGTATCACATTTGTTTTAGGATTATCATAGTGTTTGCTAAGAATGAAGTGATTCTCTTCCAAATGATGCGTATCGTCTACACTAATGGTTTTAGCAATGACATCTACATTAAATTTGGTCTTGACAAATGTCGTTTTGTTCTTCCTTTTTGTCTTCTTCTTCTTCCTTTGCGTCTTCTTTTTCTTCTTCCTTTGCGTCTTCTTTTTCTTCTTCCTTTGCGTCTTCTTTTTCTTCTTCCTTTGCTTCTTCTTCTTCCTTTGCGTCTTCTTCTTCTTCTTCTTTATTTGCTTCTTCTTCTTCTTCTTCTTTATTTGCTTCTTCTTCTTCTTCTTCTTTATTTGCTTCTTCTTCTTCTTTATTTGCTTCTTCTTCTTCTTCCTTTGCGTCTTCTTCTTCTTCTTCTTCCTTTGCGTCTTCTTCTTCTTCTTCTTCCTTTGCGTCTTCTTCTTCTTCCTTTGCGTCTTCTTCTTCTTCCTTTGCGCCTTCTTCTTCTTCCTTTGCGCCTTCTTCTTCTTCTTCTTCTTCTTCTTCTTCTTCCTCTGCGTCTTCTACTACTTCTTCTTCTTCTTCTTCTTCTTCTTCTTCTTCTTCCTCTGCGTCTTCTACTACTACTTCTTCTTCTTCCTTCGCGTCTTCTTCTCTCCTTGCGCTTTGTTCTTTTCTCCTCTATTCTTCTGTCTCTGCGCCTTGTTCTTCTTCATTTTCTTCCTGTCTTCTCTCTTCTTCTTCTGTTTGCGCCTTCTAATTTTCTTACGTCTCGTGCATTCTGCCAAACGTGACATATTTTCGTCACTAGCTTCATCAAAGTCAGCCGCTGCCCTAAATAAAATTCTAATGCACGGCTGCTTTGATTGGTAGTTTTCAAGTGAATGTCTTGAGTACCCAACCAAAAAGGCCACAAGACGTTTCGACCTTCTCTTCTGTATCTTTGAACCTTCTTTTCACTCACACAGCCCTACTATACGCGCTACATTACCACGTATGTGTAGAGACCAGGCGAGTAAGAGCGTGTCCCGTGTGTGCCGGCGAGCCTCTGGGAAAGATGAGAGCTGTGAGTTGTGCTGTGTGCGGAAAAGTGCCGGTCGCCGTTCGAGGTCGTACGAGTTGCTGACGAGCGCTGGGAGCTGGCTGGAAGGGCGCGCGCCACTGTCGTGGCGGGGAAGCCACAGGGCGAGCGGCTTGATGAACGATCTTCGGTTGCCGTCTGTCGGCTCCCTCGCTCGTAGCGCTTTCAATGTATTTGAAAATCCAGAAGTCGGCATGCATTCACCGAGAAACTATGAAATAAAAATTAAGTGAGAAAGTAGCACTGAAAGTAGCCAGAAGAAATTAAGTGAATTAAAATTATGAGAAAATGAAAAAAACGTGTGAAAGGCCCCTCCTTACATATTACGCGTTTTTATGAATAAACAAAATATGTTCATTACAAGACATTGTCTAAAATTCTGATGTGATTTTCCAACTAACAATCAGGATATTTGTTAACAGTTCAAATATGTGTAGTGGTGGATACAACAAATAATTGATAGCCTTTTGCATATTTACTTTTACTTGAAATATTTGAAAGAAAAATCAGAAATAACGAGCGAGGAAATAATATTATAGATCAATTCATTAGAGTGGTGCTTTGACTCATTACTTTCTCTATATCGAAAATGCGTATATATGTACGTATTCTAGAAAGTAAAAATCCACATGCGTATTAGATTGTAGGTTTTAAAATCTTAAAAGTAGGCTTTTCCAGTAAAGAAGGGCTACTTTTATGAATTTTGTTGGTACATACAGAGAGTGTAAAAAGTATTCGAACACCTAAGGATTTCTACATAAAGTTTTATTTGGATTACCTGTAACAAAAAGTAAAAAAAAACTCTGAAAAATCCTTCGTACGCCTTCCTTTGGAGGGAAAGTATAACTGTCCCATGTTAGTAGATTTACTAAATGTAAAAGATGTTTTCCTTACACTAAACTGATCAATGACTTCCAGAATGGTATTCCTTGGTCTGTTTAAAACCTGAGAAATTTCCCTCAATGATTTGTATTGATTATGCAACCTGATGATAATTTTTCTCATTTCCAAAGGCACTTCCTTCCCTTTACAACCCATTTCTTCTTTTCATAATACACTCAGACGCCTATCAAGTATCTCTCAAACTCTATGCAAGGCTACTGCTGTCTACCCTGTCTAGTGTCAATAAATTTCCCAAGGGTCAAGCATAGGGGAGCTAAAACCGTTACAGTTGTTGTTGCGGTTCAAAAACTTTCTGTGTCCCAAGATATCACATTTCAGAATGTTTCAACGGTTCTATATGCTTTGCTTTTCTATTGTTTTTCTACTGTTTTTGGTTGTAGCTTTTCCATATACTTAGGTTAATATTGTGATGAAAATATGTATTGATTATAAGATAGTTGTTAGAATAATTGTTAAAATGCACTGGTGTTCGAATATTTTTTTACATTCACTGTAGAACAAAAGTCTTCAAATTTTGGGGTGTGTAGGTATAGAATTATAGTAGGTATAAACCCAAGAATCCAAGGCTTCAAAGTAGCTGAAGTAACTGTGATATTTATTACAGTCATGAATCAGATAGGAAGAGGAGTGAATTCTGCCTGTTGTTACAAACAGAAATTTTAGTTCCATTTCCCAGTTGCATTGTTCCTAAGGGCTCTGCCTTGGTGCACTTGATACACATCTCTGGTTTTAGTGATTGTTAAAATATTTGGATTCCAGGTATTATCCTGCTTTGAAAACTCTTGAACAATTGGAACATTTATATTTACCTCGTGTAGCAAATTATAGATTTTCTCATCAAATGAAGGAGAATATTCCAAAGTAAGTGGCTAAATATAAAACTATGAAAATTATTTTGCTGATGTTATTTTTACTGAGCCATGATGTAAGAATGTATTAATTGTTCCAATAGGTTGAGAGAGAACATTAAGGAAGCCTCCATGTCAGATTTGAAAGACTTCTTAGAAAACATAAGGAAGTTCTCCCCCAAGATAGGAGAAGTTGCAATGAGACATGTAAGTATTGTATATTATATTTTATTGGAAATTGATTGGATAACCTCGCTCCTTAAACATATATCTCAAAGAGTAGAAATACCGTACTGACATGAAAGGACATTATTTACATATCTTTCCCATTCTTTACCAATTGATTATGGAGTCCTGCAAGGTTCGATTGTAGGTCCTATCCTCTTTCTGTTATATGTAAACAATATGCCCTTGTCTATTATAAAACGGAAGAATAGTTCTGTTCGCCGATGACACAAATGTTCTTTGCAGAAAAGAAACAGTAAATAGTGTGATTTCAGTAGTTTCAAATTGGTTTTGTAATAACAAATTGATAGGTAACGAAGAAAAAACAGTGTCAATGCATTTTTGCATTTCAAATCAGTAATTGCATGCTCCATTGAAAATGAACAATATGCAATTAGCTGATGTTAAGGTAACAACATTTCTAAGTCTCTCAACTCTGTCAAACCTCAAATGGAATGTACATATTAACAGAATTAAACACTAAATGAAGTTCATTATGTTACGCATTCAGAAATCTTTCAAATTCCGTCAGCCTTCATGCATCTCGTTGCATGTATTTTGCAAATGTGCATTCCGACCTGAGATATGGCATAATATTCTGGGGAAGCTCATCATGTAGTACCCAAACCTTTATATTGCAAAAGAAAATTATTAGAATAATGAAAAAATGCCATCCATATGATTCCTGCAGACCCCTCTTCATTGAGCTTGGAATCTTACCATTGCCTTGCCTATTTACTTACGAATCTGTAATTTTTGTCAAAACTGACTTACTTAACGGCAGGAACATATTTTCATGCAATACTGATACTTATGATTACAACACATGTCATAGAAGTCGCATTCATAGAGTGTCAGTATCAACAGCTCACTACCAGAAATCCACATACAATACATGTACGTTACTTTACAATGCATTGCCAGATGACCTTAAACATTTGAAGTCGGTACACTAATTTAAGTTAAAAGTAAATCTTTTCTGCTGCAAAACTGTTTCTATACAATTAGTCTACTGATTATCAAAAAGAAAAATGATGTTTATTTTAACAAAACAGGGAGTTATAATGAATTAGTTTATGTTTGTATTGTATAATTTTATTAAAAAGACTTAATACGCTTGTAACAAATAATGTACTTCAGATTCCGTGTCAATGACCCCCATCATCTCGATCAGGTTTTTGCCCAGTTTCCCTGATACTTCGAGCAAATGCTGAGATGGCCCCTTGTTTTGCTTCTAGACGTAATTGTAGCTTCACTATGGGCATGTTTTGTTGAACTCTCCTTTTACTTGTAATGGCAAGAGTAGAGGTAAGGGCGTGTTACTATTTTGTTAGTAATGCAGAAAATAAAATTTGCAGTTTGTTTACCGTTGCAAATAAGTTTTCTATAACTCGGGAATGAAAATGTCAAGTTTTTCAAATGTTGTTACTGTCATGTTTTTTTCATAAATATTATTTTTATTATTTTAAATTTGTTTTTTACTTTTATTCATTTTTGAACTATTTTTAGTTAAAATGATGGGAAGGGATTCTGAAACTCCAGAAAACATGCGCAGATTATCTTCTCCCCCATACGTCACATACAGTTTATAGATCTTAAATACTATAAAGTAAAACACCTGTACGATTAATAAACCAAACTGTTATCATATAATATTTTCATTTTCTGATGCCTTGCATTCATTATGACTTATTTTAATTTTTATCGTTATGTAATTCTTCGTATTTCACCTGTTGTATGGCATTGTTTTTACTTTATGAATACAAAAATCCTGTATTGTATAAATGTATGCATATGAGAAAGCAAAACTGGTTGCATTACTTATGGATCATACTTTTAAATGTTAGTGTCGTTAAACGCTAATTATCAATTCAATTTACTTAATGAGAAATGCATTCCATTTACAACACAAAAAAATGATCTTATGTTTCAGACTGCTGAACAATTAGGTAGTGATCCATCTGTTGTAGGGAGAAAGAAGAGACAAGCTCCTCCTCCTCCAAATCCCTTCACTGGTGAGTTGTATAGCTCCATGCACTACTAATATACTACTATACTATAATATGATTGTGTGCGGAATTTAGATATGATAAAATTAAGAAAATGTAAAGTAAAACTTGCTGAAACATTAGTGGAATGTTAATGACTACATATCATGCGTTTCTGTATCTGCTCTTTAATTTTAACCTTTGGTGAAATTTGGTTTCTTAGATGAACTGGGCTAAAGCTTTGAAACTAGCGATTATTCTTACCATTTATTTTATTGGTACATACCTTGTAAATATTCAGATTTATTAATATTTTTAAAATTCTATGAATTCTGTGAATAAAAGATTCATCTGTTATGTAAATGTAATGTTAATGTAAAATATTTGTTGGCTTTTATCCAATTTTAAGAAATGAGCTGTGTTTTTTCTGGCTTGGTTTTAGTAAAATTAATGTATATATTTCAAATTATAAATATACATACATTTTTTACGTTTGATATCTTTGTGTTTGAGATTGACCAGAATCTTTGTTCATGCATGCAGGTAGGCACATATAGTACTTATATTGGCAGAAAAGTGAGCAAGTAGAAAATCATGAAGTTGACAGTGTGTTCTTTAAAAGGGAAAGTAAAAATAGTGAGATTTAATATCTTAATTTAACAGTCTAGATACCTGTATTATTGAACGTGAAATTATCCCATCTTTTTCAGGAGAAGTGGATTATGAAGCGCCTGCAGAAAGCACATATGATGCAGAAGAAGACCTAAGTGCTCAGGACCTAATTGATTTCTCTCCTGTCTATCGTTGTTTACATATTTATACAGTATTAGGATCACGAGAAACGTTCGAAACATATTACAGGAAGCAACGAAAGAAGCAGGCTCGATTGGTTTTACAACCTCCAACAAATATGGTATTATTATTTTTGTTTTCAAACTTTTTATTTTTATTCTATTCGTTTTTTAATTTTATATTACTTTCTTTAAAGTATTATCAATGTCTTGGTTATTAGTGTTTATTCCATAATGTATGTAATGCAAATTTGCTAGTATTTTGGATCCTTCTCTCCCCCTGCAATCAGAGTTTGAATTGCCCCCAAATTATATAACATTTGCTCCCAATAATACCTGTCGGGCACATGCTGTAGTGAATGACGATAGCAGGGATTCTCATTCAGTTTGATTCATTTGGGAATTTTTAATGGAGGGGTTTTGAATATTTTCTTCATAATATATCATTGATGAAAACATTTCCATTTATTTTAAGTTTATATATCATAACTTTGTAATTTGATATTTTTAAAATATTTTTTAATTTTAATGTTTTATTGTCTTACAATAAGACTGAATTAAAATAATTATTTAATTGCCGTTGTTGAAGTTGCGAAAAATGGAAAAATTAATATTAGCACTATGCAACATTAAACTGTACTTCCCCCTCCTCTTATGTAACGTAGTGTAATGCTGTCTCAAACCCCCTCTTCCTTCTCTTTAGCATTACATAATTTATGGATGACCTTATACAGATATTGTACAACATTGTTTGTTGCTATAACATTTTATTTATTTACAAAATACGTGAACAAAAGGTAGGCAATTTTTGTAATCAACTGTTTGACAGGAAAAACTTGAATGGATTGTGAAAAAAATTCTGTTTGATTTGTAATTGTGGCCACGAAGGTGGAAGTTTGCATTGCGGAGAAAGAAATCATCAAAATCTGGGCAGTTGTAGTGACTGATTAGTATTTTGTAAGTTTCAATGAAATCTCTTTTCAATATCCAGTCATTATAGTTGACAGGGTGAAGTGCTTTACGACTCTCAGGTTATAATAGGTGTTGCAGGACAGGAACATATCTCAAAGATTTCCTTGGAGCACCATCTAAGAGAGTCAGGCCCAGATGCAGAAACCAAATTCAGTTATTGGCCTAATGAAGGTAGTTGCAGTAAAAGTTTGGGTGTCAGGTGCTTCAAGACTCTGTTGACCAGATTGGAGATCGTTTGCTTTTTTCGTCATGTGTTGAACTTGTATACTCCACTTCAGATCCTTTGATATTATGATTTCCATGTCCGATTGAAATGAAACATGAGAAATATGTGGGTTGTACAGAGATAACATTTGCGTAGATTATTTTTTCCAGTAAGAAGAACAGAAAACTTAAGTGGTTTGACAGTGATAAGCTAGTTGTTAGACCATTGAGAATTTCTTGAAAATAGAGCATGAGTGGGTTACTGTAGTATTTTACAGCATTCATTAGCAAACTACTCATTGGAGATGCCATCAGATTACAGAGGTTGGTTATGTAGAGTAGGGAAAGGAGTGGGCCCAAAACAGAACCTTGTGAAACACTGCTATAGATAGGTTTTTTGGAGGAGAGTAAACTACCAGTTTTCACTTGGACGTTCCAGTTCTCCAGAAAAGCAGTGATCCAACGTTTAAGAGGAGATTACCTCTTAAACCCAAGAAAAAGCCTTCTATGGGAGACTCAATCAAAAGTGTTTTCTAAGTCAATAAAGAGAATATCAACTGGTAAGCCATTGTTTTGCAATTAGATCCAGTTGCTAAGACATTTCAGTAGGTTGGAGCAGATAGACCTACCTGGAAGAAAGCAATGTTGGTTTTATGGAATGATGTTTCTTGCAGAAATCCAATATTGAGGAAGTGACAATTTTTTCCATGAGTGTAATGAAGGGAGAGGTCAATTAGATAGGGTAATAACTTCTTGCTACCGTTCTGTCACTTTTCTTGCATATGGAAATGACGGTCACTGAGAGCCAATCTGGCGGAAGACAACCTTCTTTCATGGATTGTTCAAAAAGATGTTTCAAGTTTGGACTAAATAAGGAAGTACATTGTTTAATCAGAAAAGGTTGGATCCCATTGGGGCCCTTAGATGTGCGATTTTCGTAAGATGGAATTGGATGGACAGGATGAGTAGGGAAATGGACATCACAGAGGCTGGCCTGAGTCCATGAAAGAGCTATGTTGATTGGTGGACTGTTAACTTCACGTACAAAGATGCTGATAAATTGATTGCCTAAAATCTCAGGAATCGGCAGAATCAGAGTTCGTGAGGCCATCTGAATTAACGATTATAAGTGGAAAAGGTTTGGTACTCCATTGGCTCTTAAGATATCTGTAGTCATTTTTTAAATTGGAAGATAAGAGTTTGCCTTCATAATGTGCACATTGGAAGTCAATTGCAGAGTTATCCTGGTTTTGCAACTGTTCATATGCAGCAAATAAAGGGTTGTTCCAGACCTTCACTTGTTTAATCGAAGATTTCTTCTTCATGCTCTCAGATGTTGAATTGCAGATGTCATCCATGGTTTGTTGTGTAGAAGTTTCCTCTTCCAGTTGCAAATGTGGATTTTAAGTCAGTTGTAGTGAGGATTGTAGTTTAGAAGTCAAGAATGGTATGGGATTATGAAGGAAGGTGAGCAAGATAGTGGGAGAGAGTGGTGAAGAAATACAGGTGTAATCAGCTGTGAAAAAATTTCTAGAAGGCTGCTGTACTTTGTGTGGATTGGACAAGAATGGCAGGTGGCTGATTTTAAAAAGGGATGTGTGGTCTGATGTAGCTAAAGGTATAAGGTGGAGGACTTCCTTAACTAGATTATTCGTGTTAGTAAGGATCAGATCAAGTAGAGGTACCTTCATTGGTAATGAGTTAGTCGTGTCAAAAGATGGTACTGCTGGCCAGGCACTTCCTATTAATATTCTGGTAATTGGAGTCCTCAAGAACTAAGAGATTAAACTAGTCGAACATATTTTGTAGCTTTGTTGTCAGTATAGTATGTCAGTAGATAATTTATTTTCAAAGGGGGAAGATTCTCTTTATCCCCACGTGATTGAAATACTGTTTTTTCTTGAAAACCCTACAGCTCTCTCTCTTTTTTTTTTTTAGAACCACATTTGTTGCATGTGATCCTCACATTTTGAAGTACGAAAAGAGTGATGCAAACTAAACAAGAAGTATTTGAAAAGTAATTCATAATTATAAAGATATTTTATGTTTTTCTTGCAGCATGAAACAATAGCTGGATATCGAGCATACATTCATGGTATTGTAGGATTCTTTGTTGTAGAAGATCATGTTTTAAATACTGGTAATGGCCTTGTTAATAGGACATACCTTGATGAAGTTTGGAATATGGCTCTTTCAAAAATTGTGAATGCTTTAAGAACCCATTCTGTAAGTATTATTTTTATTATTATTATTATTATTATTATTATTATTATTATTATTATTATTATTATTATTATTATTCCACAATTCACAAATATAAATATAGTTTCCAATAATTTACCGATTTTCAGGCATATTGTACAGATGCAGCTCTAATGCTGAAAATAAAGAATTTAATCATGCTCTTCAATACTACACTCAGGGTAAGAATCAATCACTTTTATTGTATTTATCATTTAAAAACAGTTAAAAATAAGATACGTGTTACAGGTGGTATTTTTTCAGGTATAATGTTGAATTCCTCCTTTGTTATTAATTTAAATTTACAAATTGTCCAGTTTCATTTCTTTCAATAAAACTTTTAGTAGTTATTTTGTAAGGTTAAGTATTTTTTGTCATGATGTGCATAGTCCAGTTGTGTATTCTACTCTTGTAACACTTTAAGTTTACCTTTACAGAATTATGGATACTCTGTGAATCAGTTATTTGATTTGCTTCATGAAATACGTGATCATTATAATGAAGTTCTTATGCAGCGATGGGTTCAGGTCTTCAGAGAGATTCTTGATGAAGAAAGTTTTCTCCCTATTCAGGCAAGGTCTTTTTGTTTTAAAGATTTAGTGGTTTGTATAACTTCATTGATTGGTCATTGTACTTGTTATTTTGAACACAGGTTACATCTCAAGCTGAATATGACCATGTAGTTGAATCATTTCCCTTTCATGATGAAGCCTTGGAACTTGCACAGTTTCCTAAAAAGTTTCCATTTTCTCCACTAGTACCGAAAGTTTATCAACAGGTGAAAGAATTTATCTATGCATGCTTAAAGTTTTCTGAAGATTTAAATTTAAGGTAAATATCGAACACACAAGGTTTTTATTAATTACCAGGTAGACATTTCCTTATGAGTCATTTTTCTATAAAAGTTTCTAATTTTCAGTCAAGCCCAAGTTGATGATATGATTCGTAAATCAACAAATTTACTACTAACTCGCTCCTTCAGTGGTTGTCTTTCATCTTTATTTCGGAAACCCAGTATTGCTCTATTACAAGTTATTCAGATCATTATTGATACAGGATATTTAGAAGATGCAACTGTATTTTTAGAAGAATTTGTTTCAAATATTACTGGGTAAGATATTTTTCTTATAAACCGATGTTCTAAATATTCTATTTTTATAAATTCTAATTTTTTAAGATGAAAAAGTAAAGAGTTATACTTGCTTTTTTATTTCAGTAGTAAGGAATTGAACACTGTTATTTCTAACAGAATAAATACTGATACATAACTAATATAGTCTTTTAACTAGAAGTTAAGAATGTTTTAAAATTAAATCAAGATTAGACTCTTAAAGGAACTGGGTTTCAACAGGCTTAGGAAATTTTTTAAAGATGTTGTAAATGTATGCAACCATTTTAACTGGTTTGTTTTAAAATTATTCAAGAAATGTTCTGTAGTTGTGGTTATATTTTTATATCATAAAATTCACCTTTTAGATATTAGAATGAATGCCTTATTCCTGATTTGCTTCAGATTCAAGAAAACGAAGTGGGGGGAAAACGCAGGGAAAGATCTTTTTATTGAATTGTGGTTTTAGAGATTATTGTATTTGTGGAAAATGAACAAAGAACATACCAGCAATTAATTTTCATTTATAATTCGTATCTTTTTGTTTTAATTTTCATTGATTACAACCCGACAAACCGAACTTTCAAATGCGTTTTGTTTTCATGCATTAGTTCTAATTTGTGTGTTCTGGCATTTAGTTCTAATTTCAGTAGAAGATGGTTCAGCTCTTCAGTTTATTTTAAGTTAAATATCAATAATTTATAATTGTAATTTTTATTTTCCAGTGCTCCTAAAGAAGGTCATATGAGTTCTCGTTCTCAAGGTCAATCGACAATGTTCCGTGTGGCAAGAGATGATGCAGAAAGACAGATTTGTGATAAATTGAAGTGCAAACTGGATGAATTTTTAGAATTGGAAAACTATGATTGGCTTTTGGGAGAACCAAAAGGGCATGCATCCAGTTTTATTACAGATCTTATTGCTTTTCTACAAAGCATATTTTTGTCTTTCACAAATCTACCTGTAAGTTCACGTACATTTTTCTACAACTATCATGGTCTGTAGTTAAATTCAATTAATTATTCTTAATCATATGTCAATATGTAGTTCGTGGAGAGAAACAGCTTATTAAAACATAGTCATTTGGCTTAAGTTAATATACTCAATTTTTTTATATTCTGTGTGTTCTTCATATGGCATAATTCTCGTTGTAATCTCTTTGTAAAATTTCCTGTTTGTCAGGATATTTTATTACTTCACTAGATGATAACTATTCATAAATAACTAACATTTCATAAATAAAACTATTCCAACTAATGCACTTGAAATACAATTACTATATAAGTTGTAAACAATGATAAGAATTATATTTTGTATTATTCTTTCAATATTCGAAATATCTATTAAATAAAATTAATCAAAACTTGATCATCAATGGCTGCCATGTTCATATATTTTCACCTGGACAAAAAAGTACATTGTTTAATAACATTCTTGTCTTCTTCTTCGACGGTTTCTACCTCTTAGGGTTTGCCGTTTTCCATTTCCATAATTCTCGATCCTCCAATTGACCCTCTTCCAATCCTTTCTCCTCCATAACTTCATGTATATATTTCTTCCAGGTTAAACCAGGTCTACCTCTTCTACGCCTTCTTTCAGGTATCCAATTTAAAATTTGTTTTGGCCATCTCTCATTTCGCATCCTCTGGACATGTCCATACCAATGAAGAGCTTTATTTTCTAGTCTTCTGGTTATGGTTGCTTGAACCCCACCTCTTTCCCACACCACTTCATTTCTTATTTTATCCAGTCTTGTTATCTGCTAAGATCTCATAAAGTCAAGCTCTACTGACCGTATTCTGTCTCTACGGCGTTTTGTTAACAGCCACATTTTTGCTCCATATAATATAATACTTTCCACAATACTGTGGAATATGTGTCGTTTTGTGTCTTGCCTTAAAACACTATTCCATATAAGGCCGCCGCATGCAGAGCTTTGATTGCATTCCTCCCTATTGCGAATTCTAGCATTTATATCTTCATCAATTTTCCCATCGTCGGTAATACAGTCCCAAGATATTTAAATTTCGAAACGTTCAGCTTCTCGTCATCATGTCGACATTAATATTTAGATGGCATCTCTCTATGCATAATATTCCTGTCCTTTTTAAGGTTGATTAAGTCCCCATTTCTCGTATTCTGTCTTTTAATTGCAAAGCATATACTCCATATCTTCCTGATCTGATCCAAATAATTACCTGATCATACCTTTGCATAAAAGGCAAAGAATGTAAGCACTTTCATTTAATGGGAAACTCCCTTTGAGAACATTTCTTGTAGCAAGGTTGCTTTAAAGAAACCTTTGCTTTAAACGCTTTGTTAGTTCCAAACTCTGGGGTAATTTCCTCCCATTTGAATGCAGCTCAGCATTCTGGTAATTTTTGTAACTAAATTAATCCATTTTTCTTGCACTTTCAGTCTTTTCAATTGCTGGCCAAATTTTACATCTTGAACACTGTCATAGGCTTTTCCCAGGTCAATAAATGTTATATATGTTATCTATATGGTCATATCTATTTTTTCTATTATCTGGCAAGAGCAATAGATGTTAATCCCAAACATGTCTCTTCCACTCCTAACCCTTTGTTCTTCTGAAAGTTATTCCTTTTGTATTTTTTCTTAAGAATTACTAGCGGAAGTAGCCTAGCTATTGATGGAATGACACTAATTTCCCTCTGTAATTTCAGCACATAGTTTTGTCACTTTCTTGTGTATGGAGACTGATGTATGACATATTCCATTCCTCGCGGAATAATCACGCTAACTGTCATTCTATTAAAAGATTTTGGAGGTATTCAATTATATAGAGCCTCGTATTAAAAGTTCGTTCTATCTAAGAGGTTTCCCTGGTCCTGGGAGCTTTATTGTTGGCTTCTCGCCAAAGCCCTCTTTAATCAAACCGACTAATTTCAGAGTCCCATTCTGCCAATGTGTTGCATGTCCACCTAGTTGTTGGACCGGTATTCGACTCTATTTTCTGCAACAATGTCTTCGTAGTAAGTCAATCCATTTTGTAGGAGTTATTGTTTGTACTCTTGCTTCTGTTACAGTTTTTTCTCATTTTATTGCTTTTTCCAAATGCTTCAGTTGATCTGTTATATCCAATGTTACTATTATATCACTACATAATCTCTTCCAGTGTTCAATCTTTTTTCGATTTTTACTAAATTCTTTAACTTCTTTTCTCTTTTCACATATTCTTTTCGTGTGTCCTCATTCCTATTTGAAATCATGTCAATACAATTTTTTCTTTCCTAATGCATGCCTTCTAAATCTTCAACTAAATTTCTCATACAAACTTGCTTTTCTTGTCCACTCCTAGAACTTCCTTAGCTGCTTCGCAAACAGCCTCTTTTAAATGATTGTACATTTTTTTTTATCGGGACTTTAATCTTCTGAGTTTTCTAGCTTATTCTGATTCTGTTTGGTAGAGATTCACACTGTATTGTTTTAAAAGGTGCTGTTTTAAATTTACATGTCGTTTTCTTCCATAAAAAGTCAGTGTCTTTTTCAGTACATCTTTGTTCATTTCTAAAAGGAAAAACATGTTGCTGCACTTACATATGATGACAGTTCCACATTCTGGTTGACCGGTATACTCTTTACATCATTCAGTTTAACTTCTTCTTTGTTCATTCAGTTTAACTCTTCTTTAATTCAGTTTAGACTCTTGCTTTCATCAGTTTAACTCTTCCTTGTTTTTTTTTTTCCCCCCCCCCCAAAAATTTTCAGTTTAACTCTTCTTCATTCAGTTTAACTCGTCTTTCATTCTTCACCACAACTAAATCATTACAGATTTGATATATTTCTTACTGGATCTGATTCGTGAGTATATTTGTGGATGTTTTTATGTCCAACACAACGGTATTTCCCTACACATAGTGCATGTTCCTCACATAGTTGATTAATCTTTTCATTGTCATTAATATTTCCTCTCTGTATTGACGCTACTACTTCGAGTGTCTATTCACCACTCTGCTAATAATCTCCCAATTCATATTATTTCATTTTGATAGGAATACTCGCTAATAGTTTGTGCTGAGGTTTGAAAGAACTTATTCTTTCATCTACAAGTGCATTTATCATTTTCGGCTATACCCCTAAAATTGTTACTTATGACGAAATGTCTACTCTTAGTATCCTTTCATTAATATTCTGTATTTTTTAATGAAATTTTGTCATTACGCATTAAGGAGAGAGACTCCACTTCTTGTTTCTAAACTCTTTTGGTAGTCACACCACAAATATGAAGATATTCATTCAACCATTTCTTCCCCTGTCCTTTTCCTTCGTTCCCATAATATAATATGTCCAGGTTCCTTTTTTCAATTTCTGAGATTACCCCCTCTTGCTTTGGTTCGTAGGCCTTCGTATATTCCATGTTCCAATTTCATTGTTTTCGTAGCCTTGTCGTAATTTTAAATTTGTCTGGTCCGAGGCATATTTAAATCGCTTTGAACTGAAGTTTTTATGGAGCTGGGATGTTAGCCCTGCGTCCAACATCCATGCTTAATCTGGAGGCGATTTTTTTTTTTTTCTCACCGGTTGGTCATCCCTTAGGCAAGGTTGGTTTCACCACACTACGGAGGGCCCCCCCTTGGTTCTGTCAGAGGTTTTTCCTTCCCTTAACTCATGGTTCTCTGGGCTTTAAGGCGCGGAAACTCGCCTTTCGTCCACCTTTTACGTTACTTCTGTAACGTTCTCACCACACGAGAATCCAGGGCGCACTATGGCGAGGAGGTTTGGAAGGGACTTGATGATCAGCCTTTTACTACAAGGCTCCCCTTACATGGAGGGTTTTTCCTGGTATTTATGGTGTTACGCTATGAAGCCTCAAATATATCACCACCAGGCGCGCCAAGTCAGCATTTTGGACGCCCCAATGACTCTTGTCTGGTATCAAATTTAGCATAATCATCCACCCAAGTCTTGCATTCCATTATGATGGTAGATGTGTGTAGATGAACGTCTGATCCATTTTGCCAAAGTAAAATTGTAATTTGTTTACCACATGCTCCTCTTGTAAATAAGAATGTAGTCTCCTGTATATCATGTTAAAAGCTTCATGTCATCTTCTCTATCATGTTTATACTTTATATCACAATTAACTTTAAAGGGAGTCACAAATAGTCAATGATAAACGTTCACTTTGTTTCATTACTTATGTGCTGCACATTCCATTAGTGGATACAATATTGCACTTCCTGTAAGTTATCATGAATGTCAGTTATCATACTTCCATCCAACGCCTCACTTGGTATTTGTAATGTAGAAATATTTAAAATTAGGTGGAAGAGTAGGCCTTAACAGCCTGAGCCTCATCAGAAAATAATGATGGCTGTTATTGTTGTTGTTATTCTGGTTGTGGTATCTGCACTATAATGTAGGTAATTTTTTAAATTTAATTTTATCAAAAATTGTCTCCTTACTTTTTTACACTTTTTTCTCGCTTATGTATCAAAGGACTGTAAAAGGAATTTGTGCTAATCTCATTTCAGTGACTCTGGTATTTTCTAAAATTGCGAAATTAACATTGAAAAAGTACAAATTGGGATGGAGATCTTATCTTTAACAAATTTGCTCTTAAAGAAGGTGTACAAAATTTTTGATAACCCAAGTAATAGCAATTTGTACTAGAAATTACGATAGTTTATAAAAATAAAGTTAAAATCCTCAAAAACCTGGTGTTTTTTTTTGCAAATGAGTGACAAAGGACACTTAAGAGGAACCCAGGATTCGAAAATTGCAAAGAAGAAGTAATGGTCAAGTCAATCTATTTAATCAGTATTGCTAAACCTGGCATTATAATAATTATATTTAATTCCATTGGAACTCTTACAGACTTTTTTCTTTCTTTTTAGCCTGAAGTAGCTCAAGAAGCTTGCAAGTCCTGCATGTGAGCATATGCAAAAATCTGTTTGGGATTTATGCTTAGTGAAGATGTCAAGCCAATTTCAATGGGAGCTTTCGCAATAATCTTGCCACTAAACGTGTGAACGTGAAGTTTTAAATAAACGTTTTAATTATGTTCTGATCTGATCGTTTCGTGAATTATGTGGTAATAATCCGCTACAAATGAAGATTTCCTTCATTTTAGCTTGACAAATTTTGAAACCTCTTGTATTTAACTTTTTGGATTACTGGCCTTTTTATCA